CTCTCTCTCTCTCCCCTCAGTCTGGCATAGAGTGGTACCAGAAGCGCGAGCCGTCCCTGACTTTCTGTGAGGCGTACGGCAAGGTTCGGGCTGAGGGCCAGACGTGGGACAACGAGCTGGGCGAGTACTGCGGCCACCCGGACTGCTGCGACACAACCCATGGCAAGTTCTCACAGTGCAACAAGTGCCCCGCCAGCGTCGCTGAGTGCTCCACGTCCTACAAGCCCGAGAGCTTCTACTTCGAGGTCAACGGGGTGCCCGTCTACGCCAAAGGGGCCAATGTCATCCCTTTCTCGTCGTTCCACGCCACCGTCACCCAGGAAGATGTGGAGGCGATCCTCGGTGGGTGGATGGCGGTGTGCGTGACTTCGTGTGATGTATCTATTGTGTGTGGGTGCAGAGTCGGCCTTGGCAGCGGAGATGAACATGCTGCGTGTGTGGGGCGGGGGCATCTACCAGGAGGAGTACTTCTACGACTGGTGCGACGCCCACGGCATCCTCGTCTGGCAGGAGTTCATCTTCGCCTGTGCCATGTACCCCACACACAAACCATTCCTCGACAACGTCAGGCAAGAGGTCAGCACAGCAACCGGCCGGTGGGCTGGTTGTGCAGCCGCATCCATCTGTGTGTGTGCATCGATGGATGCCTTTGTGACGGTGTGTGTCTTCCCTCGTGGCTGTCTGTGCAGGTGCGCATTCAGGTGCGTCGCCTCGCCTCCCACCCTTCTATCGTCATCTGGGGCGGGAGCAATGAGAATGAAGCTGCACTACAATGGTCACAGGGATGGATGGACACCATTCATTGGATGTCACGTGGCTCCCTTGCATATGTACTGACTGGCCCGTTCGCTTTGTGTCGCGTGAATGCAGGTACCGCGATTCGCAGAGCAATCGCGACCTCTATTTGTCCGAGTACAACGTCCTGTACATTGACACCATACACGATGAGTTCAGAAAGGTGCGCAGACGCTGTTGGGATGTATATCATCACACACGGCAGACGTTTCGCATGTCTATGGCTGGCACAGGTGGGCCCCCCGTCGGCCATCTTTCTCGACTCCTCCCCGACCAACGGCCCGCTCACCGAATACCCTGACACATACAGAAAGTGAGCGGATGAGTGGATCTCTCCACAACCACACACACACGCGCCAACACACACGCGCATTGTCCCTCTCCACCGTCACAGGCAATGGGGCGACCCCTACGACATCCACCGGGGCGACGTGCACTTCTACGACTACGGCATCGACTGCCTCAAGACCTCCCACTACCCAAGGGCCAAGTTCGTCTCCGAGTTCGGCTTCCAGTCGCTCCCATCCATCCTGGCCTACGCGGGCCTCGCCGAACCGGCAGACCTCACGCTGAGTTCAAACTTCAGCGCTTTCAGGATGAGACACCCCGGCGGCAACAGGGAGCTCATCGAAGTCATTGGCAAACACTTCAGGTCAGTGGCGGTGTCATGTGTCATGACAGCACAGAAGTCGACATGTGCAACGTTCGGTGCGTGTGTGTCTGTGCTGTGCAGCCTCCCCCCGTCGCAGCACGCACCGGCAGCCGTGCCGGATGAGGCGTACCTGCGCCATGCCGACCTCGGCCGCCCCCAGACCACCCCAGACATCACTTCAGGCCTAGCAGGGGCATTGATGGAGCCGCTGGCGCTCAGTCGGCTGCCCAAGGGTGCGCAGGACTTCGCGTCGTTGACGTGGCTGAGTCAGCTGGAGCAGAGTATGTGCTACGACGCGGCCATTAGCTACTGGCGGCGGCTCAAGAGCGACAAGGCCGTCATGACCATGGGGGTGCTCTACTGGCAGCTCAACGACGTCTGGCAGGGCCCGTCGTGGAGCTCCCTCGAGTACAGCGGCAAGTGGAAGCCCCTCCACTATGCGGCCCGCAGCTTCTTCGGCCCCCTGATGGTGCGGGGGGAGTATGTGCCTCGGAAGGACACCACACGGATCTACGCCGTGTCAGACATCAACGAGCGGCTCGACGGCGGCACGCTACAAGTGCAGCTCGTGCGATTCCGGTAGGTACTTGAGGGCCACCGTGTTTGACTCATTCGTTGCCATGGCGTGCATACAATGCAGTGATGGGGCCGTCTTGTGGCGAGAGGAGCTCGGCGAGTTGTCCCTCGCCCCCCTGTCGGCCGCCGTCATCCACCAGTTCAAGATCTCCCGCGCCTTCAAAGGCCTCCCACCATCACCACGCCGCCGCACCCTGGATGCCACCACCGACACGGACCTCCGGCAGCACCTCCTCTGCTCGCCCAACGACTGCTTCTTCACCATGCAGCTCTCATTCAACGACAGCAAGACCCAGACCAGCAGCAAGAGCAGCAGTCACCACGCCGAGGGCCATCTGGTGATGTGTCCATACAAGCTGGCTGACCTGAGTCGGGCGGAAGTGTCAGTGGAGGGCATTGACGTGCAGGGGGCCGCGGCCAAGGTGCGCGTGAAGGCCGCAGAGGGAGGGGGGGTGGCCATGTTTGTGTGGCTGGAGTCGCCGATGGCTGGAAGGTTCTCAGATAATGGTAGGAAAGAGCTCGTAATGCCCACGCACACACACAAGTCCTGGGTTTCTTTCCTTTTGCAGGGTTCCATTTGTTGCCTGGCGCGAGTCGTGAGGTGACGTTTGAGTGTCGGCTGGACTGCTCCTTCGCCCTCAGCAACTTCACCTCCACTCTGCTCACCCGCAACCTCTACGACACATTCGCCTCATACCAGCCACACAACACACGAAGACTCGATGAACCGTACGCTCCACACAAAGCACAGCACAACACAACACAGGACAACACACACGCCCCTCTATGGTCGCGGAGCCTCCCTGTGTGTGTGTGTGTGTGCAGCATCGATGCAGTGCCCATGCGGCTGTGGGAGTTCTGTCACGACTGCACGAGGGAGGATCCCGACCTCAAGCTGCATGGCATCTTCTCCTCACACATGGTCCTCCCACGCGCGCCACAGCAGGCGCGCATCTGGGGCTGGGCCAAGAAGGGCGTCACCGTCACCATACGCATCGAACAGAAGACATCCACCAGCAAAGGCAGCGATCCGCAGCAGTTCTCGCCTAGCTACTATGTGAGGGCCGACGAGGACACTGGGGCGTGGGAGCTGCTGCTGCCGCGGGTGGAGGCCAGTGCTGAGGGGCGGAGGATCAGCGTGAGCACCAGTGAGGGCGGCGTGCTGCTGGAGGATGTGGTCTTCGGTGACGTGTGGCTGTGCTCGGGGCAGTCCAACATGCAGATGACCCTCAATGGGGACCTCGAAGGACAGGAATACATCACAACAGCTGACAGGTGAGGGAGGGAAAAGAGACAGACACGCCAGTGGGCACATTCTAGCCCATCTCCCCCTCTGTATGTGTGTGTCAGGTACCCCCACATCCGGATGTTCACTGTCAACCTGAGCGCATCCGACACGCCTCGCGAAGACCTCTCATCCCTCGCCTCATTCGCCTGGGCACCGTCACGCCCGCAATCCTTCTTCGCGGCAAACGAGTCAGCCACCCACAGCAACCTCACACGCGACCATTTCTTCAAATACCACTCCGCCGTCTGCTATACCTTTGGCCGACATCTTGACACACTGCTCAACCACCAAGCTGAGAAGGAGCCAACCGTCCCAATCGGGCTGGTCACCTCTGCCTGGGGCGGGCAGCGCATCGAGAGCTTCATGTCGGCGGCAGCCATCAATGACCTGTCGTGTGGCGGGGTGGACGGCTCGCCTGTACGGCCGCTGCGTGTGGATGGCGGCAATGATCGGCCAGTGGGTGAGAGTGAGAGGAGTGGTGCGGCGATGTGGTGGCAGGCGCTCGATGCCTACCCGATGTGCCGGGAGGCGATTGAGGCCTACAACAGGACCAAGGGCGGGGTGGTGGGCGTGTGTGAGGGATGGAGGAAGGTGAGGCAAGGGTGGACGCCGTCGTGTGACGACCGGCCTGACCAGGTAGGTGAGCACACACACCGATGGATGTTATGCGAACCACCCACCTATAACCATCTGCCTTTCTCTCTCTATGTCTCGTGGCATCCATCAGGCATGCCTCAGTGATGGCTTCACCGCCAACAATGCCAGCGCGTGCCCCCCACGGCTGCCCGGCTGCTCCTCTCGGCGGGACAGCCACTGCCCATGGTGTCTCGGACCTCGGCAGGTATGGAATGGCCTCCTCCACCCCCTCAAGAAAGTGGACGTCAAGGGCGTCATCTGGTACCAAGGCGAGCAGGACACCTCGGACTCCTCCGACTTGTCAATGTACTCGTGTCGCTTCCCGGCCTTTGTGGCTGACGTGCGGCACCAGTGGCTGTCCCCCGAGCTGCCCTTCTGGTTTGTCCAGCTCGCGGCGTACGAGGAGCCCTCCGCCCTTGACTTCAAGACAATGAGGTGGCAGCAGACAAGCGCCCTGCAACTGCCACACACTGGTAAGCACACACGCACCGGGCCTCCCATTGCTGCTACACATACCTCTCCCTCCCTGTGTGTGTGGATCGTTTAGGCATGGTGAGTGCGGTTGATCTGGGGGACCCCACTTCGCCGCTTGACCCGATCCACCCCCGGCACAAGGCCGAGATCGGCAAGCGGCTCGCCACCCAGATCGCTGGACACGTCTACGGCATCCCCATCCCCGCCACGTCCATCCCGCCCTCCCTGGTGCCCTCCGGCACCAAAACAGCCAGGGGCCGCATCGTCCTGGCCTTCTCACACGGGGACGGCCTCCACACGGCGGGCACGCGGGGCTGCCGCACCTGCTGCGACGACGCGAATGCGACCACTCTCTTCGACGTGCAAGTGGAGAGGAGTGCGGAAGGGGGTAAAAAGGAGAGGGAGAGGGAGTGGGTTGGGGTGCCGCTGGCCAAGACGATTGTTGATAGTGAGGGCCAGGCAGGGCGGGTGGAGCTGCATCTCGACGGGCTGGGGCTGGGGCTGGGCGAGGGCGAGGGTGGGGGTGGGGAAGGTGGCACTGTGTTGGGTGTGAGGATGTTGTGGTACGGGTACCCTCAGTGTGCGCTGTACAGTAGTGGGAAGATGGTGGTCACCCCGTTTGTGATGGACCTGTCGCCGCGCAATCACAGCCGGCAAAGGGCGAGGAGGACGTGAGTGTGGGTGCTGTTGGTGGTGCTGTGGGTCAGTCAGTTTTCGTGTTTTCGTGTTTTCGTGTTTTCGTGTTTTCGTGTTGCTGCTGGCCTGGCCTGGCTGGCATGATAGTGTCAATTTTCGACACGCATCGATGGATGGATGGATGGATGGATGGCCAGACAGCCAGACCGGCAGTCGATGGTGTTCCTCAATGCCATATTTAGTCCCCGGATCTCTCTGTCTGTATCCGTCACACAAGAACAACGGCCCATCCATCCATCCATCCCCATCCATCCATCCCACTTCACTTGCAAACGTCCCTTCCCTGAATGGATTTCTCATCTGCGCACATCGTTGTTGTTATCCCTCGGCATCATCAATACGTACAGTGCAATACAATCAATACAGTGAAAAGCTGAAGAGAAGTCCCTCCCATGTCAAAAAAATTGCATCTCTTAATGGACGCCATCACTTTCTTCTGTTGGCTGCCGATGGCGGCGGGTGTGGCGCCGCCTGATACATGTTGGTCATCAGGGGGTTGTCCATCGACGTCTGGAGACACACACACACACCCCAACGCATTCATTCGGTCACTGTGCTGTAGTGCAAGTGCTGACCTGGTTGCCGGTGTCCAAGCCACCTCCCCCAAACCCGCCCCCGCCTCCCATGCCACCCCCGCCCCCCTGCCCTCTCCGATTGACCGCCGAGACAGTCGGGTGTGCCGCTGCCTGGTACATATTGGTCATCAGCGGGTTGTCCATCGATGTCTGGAGACATGTGACAGACAGAGAGACAGCCGGAGACATGTGTTCAGTGATGCACACCTACCTGGTTGCCCGTGTCAAAGCCTCCCTCCGGCGGGCCCACACGACCGCCACCACGAGCGTAGCCAAAGTTAGGCAGCCCGCCCCCGGCCCCTCCCCCTCCCCCTCCCCCTCTCCCTGACGATTTGTCGGGGTAGCCAGTGTAGCCCAGGAACATGGGATTGTCACATGATGTCTCGTTGGTCGTCAGCAAGCCACCGCCACCGCTCGGCGGCCCCGCACGCCCACTGCCCATGACGATTCGCTCCATCTGCGGGACAGGGCCGAGCTCTTTGTGAGGAACGACCTGCAGGGGATGCTGCAGAGAGACATGACGAAAAGTGAGAGACAACACGCCTCGAGCGTCTTTCTTGACACGCTACACGTGTATACCGTAGCAAGAGGATTGTCCAGGCTGGTATGACAGCCTGTGTCGAACCCCCCACCGCCGCCACCAAACCCCACCCGCCCCCCAGTGCCCATCATCTCCGGACCCACACCTCGCCCCGGGCTAGGCCCGCCGCCAAATCTGGGGGGCCCTCGCTGAATGGGCGGCGGCGTCCGTGGCGGCGTGCGTGTGCGTCTGGCTGCTGCTGGGGGAGTGGTCGGTGTCGATTTGCTTATGGGCTGCTTGCCTGCAGGTGGTCCCAGTGAGAGGCTGGGGTCTTGCTTGTTCGCACGGATGGGCTGCGACTGACGCCCCGTCGATGGCGGCGGAGTGCGGCCCCGCTCCACTGCCGGGCTCCGCTGCGCGTTTGCGCGTGATGCGGGAGGAGGCGTCACAGCACGGACGTTCGGTGGGGGTGCCGGTGAGGGCTTCGGTGCTGCTGCTTTGCGTGGCTCCGCCATGCCTCTGCCGGTCACACCCATCGGCCGCCCTCCCGCTCGAGGATTCGCACGCTGAGGCTGAGGTGGCGGGCTGGACGGTGGTAGACCCGCAGCGGCTTCCCGTGCCGCCTTCATCGCCGCGCGGAACTGTTCACTTTCCTCTCGCCATTTTGATGAGACCCCCGAGTCGTGTGGCTCCTTCGCCGGGTTGACCCTGTGCATCATACCGTCGACCTTGCGCTGCTTGAAGTCGTCAAACTTCCTGCAGGGCAGACGGACACAATGGATGGCAAAAATGACGATGGCGCAAAGGAGAGGAGAGGGAGACACGGCCCACAAACAAACAAACAGCTCACTTGCGTTTCTTGGCTCCGACTTTCCGGCAGATCCCCTGGTGCTTTGCAATCCGGTCGGGCAGGAAGGTGCGGCCGCAGACTTGGCAGGGAATCAGCCCGTCGGCATTGGGTGCCAGTCCGATCTCCTCCAGCTGGGGCTCCGCACCACGTCCGGCACCCTTGGCCCCGCCCTTCGGCTTGGGCATCTTGGGCGCTTTGGGGCATTTGGCAATGTGGGCGTTCAGCTCCGACCTGACGCACATGGGCAGGCAGGCAGGCAGGCAGGCAGAGAAGGAGTCAGATGCAGTTCGATGCGACGAGAGGGCGCACACACACTGGATCAAGCTGTTGCTCGCCTACTTGGGGACAGGGAGGTCGCAGTGTGGACAGGGCAGCTCCACGAGGGCAGACTTCTTGGCGCAGCTCTTCTGGTGGAAAGGCAAGCTCTTGGGGAAGAACTGGAACGCACACAACAAGACAGCAGAGGGAGACTAACAGGGTGGAATTGCGAGAGACCGAGTCCGTGTTTGGTGCTGTTTCTTTACCTTCCCTCCGCACATCTCACAAATGACTGCACGGTTGTGCGCCATGATGGCCCCAGAGCTTCAGGTTTGTCAGAGACGGGGGGCTCCTGGGGGTCTCGAGCTCGCATGCAGTCTCCCAGTCTGAAGTGACTTTCCCTCCCAAACCACTCCATCTAACAATCATCATGGAGGATTTTATGTTCCAGACACGTCCCAACATCCCGCCATGGAGCCGTTTCGGCTATGTGGCCGCCAACCCCAAGCCCTTCCCGCAATCGACGCTGACTATCGCCTACGGCAACTGGCAGGCCGACGAGCTGTACAAGAAACTCACAGCGCAGAGCGGTGATCTCGTTCTGACCACGAAGTGCTTGCGCCAGCTGAGGGAGGCGCTGAAGATCGGCGAAGAGGTCGTGGAGGCGCACAAGGCGGGCATCCTGGGGCTGTTCAACAGGTTGCTGAGGAGCGACGATCTGGAGATCCGGACATTGACGCTCGAATGCCTTCGCTGGGTGACCAACGACGCATTTGGCCGTGACAAGATCCTGGCGGAGGAGTGCCCCGAGCTGTTGGAGGTACTCACCAACCTGCTGCAGAAGGAGACCTCGCTAAGGCTGAAGCAGGCCCTCAGCTTGACGCTGCACAACCTGTCCAAGACGCCTCCAGGGGCCGCGCAGCTGACGGCCTGCAAGTACGTCGACACCCTCTTCGCATACACATGTGGCGACAGCGCACTTAAGCCGGGGCAGGGGGCGGCCTCTTCCTGTCCGTCTCCAGAGCTGGTGCAGCAGAACCGAGTGGACTGCCTGCTCATTGCGACTCTTGCTGCGTGTGTGAAGCGGTGTTCCGCTGGGCAGAGGGAGACGCTGGGGCACCCGGGGGAAAGCGTGATGGGTCTGCTGAACCCGTTGATCGCGTTGAGGAATGAGAATGGGCATGAGATTGAGGGGCTGATTGAGGACAAGACGTTGGCCGTGCTGGACCTGCTCTTTGCCATGACCATTCTCGATATCAACAAAGACCGGTGTGTGTGTGGGCAGAGACACACGTGTTGGATTGTTGGGAATGCATTTGGCTGTGTCTCCATTTCTCCCGCAGGTTGCTTGCAGCTGACTGCATTGCGAGCCTGCTGCAGATCCTCACCCAACAACGGGTTGATGAAGCCCCTCCATCAGACGTAAGCAAAGGCGCCCACCGATTTCCTTTCCCTCTCCCTCTGACCCCGCTGTGGTGGATGGAATATCTGTCTGTCTGCAGGAGAGTGTGCCGTCACGGGACTGTCCCCTGTGGTCCTGGCAAGTGCGGGCTGACTCATGGCGGCTGCTCGGCAGCCTCTGCCTCAGAAGACAAGGCAAATATCAGGTCAGGTATGCAGACGGAGAGACACATGCTGGTAGAGATACGAATGTGTGTGTGCAGGTGCGTGACATGTTGGTGACGTCGTTTGGTAAGGTTGTGGACGAGGAGGCGGGCGAGAAGGGCAGCGGGACAGGGCTGGTGCTGCTCAAGCAGGCCCTCATCACCGAGGACTCGCACCTGCTGCTCCTCAATGTGCTGCACACACTGTCGCTCGTTGCTGAAGACCCTCTCGTAAGCCCCAAGAGAGACAGCCACAGGACAGCAGCCAAAGAACAGATGGCTCTTTTTTCTTCTTGTTGTCTCTCTGTGTGGGTGGCGTGCTGCAGGCGCGTCGGATGCTCCAAGATTGTGTCTCATCGGTTAGGGCGCTGGAAGACCATGTGAATCCGTCTGTGCAGCAGCTGGCAGAGAAGACCAGGAGACAGATCACATGGACTGCCTAGTGTCAATCAAGATGAGGGGCATTGGATATTGCATGAGGGGATTGATTCACAAGAACACACATGGACGGATGATGGATGTGTCTGTACATATCGATTGCACGGGTACATCAACCTGTCCCCGGCACAGCTAGCTACTCACACTCACTCGTGGTCATCTTGCCATGTGGTCGACCGGGACTGCGCTGGGGCCCCGATGGGCGGCCATCGAACGTCAAGGCCAACCCTCGCGACATACGCATGCCCACACCCATCAGCACCTGCTAACCGAGCCTCTACGGGCCCCTCAGTATACTGGACGACACTCTCTTCCGACCGTGCTGTCTCCTCCTGGTTTATCAGCGGCACCTCTCCCCGGGCGACAACTAATAACACAGAGACACATCATATCATGCGTCATGGTGTTGGTGTCTTTATTTGCACTTGCAGGTCAGCTCACTTTCTGGTGGCGTTTGCCTTTTGGCCTGACATGTCGGCAGGGCCTCTGCGGCGAGGTCGATGCTCGCGTCAGGAATGGCCCGGCCTCTCAGGTGCAGAGGGGCAGTGATGGGTTTGGACTCAGACGCTTCGATCAGGGCCAAAGCCTGCGTGGAGGCAAAGAGAAAGGGGTGTTTGGACGCATGTGTTCAGGAGCAACGGGCCTCCAACCTGCATCGATGTCTCAGCGAGCAGACTGCCATCTTTCTTTGCCAACACGCGAAACAGCACAACTGCGTCCTGCAACGTCACACACCAAACAAACACATTTGAATGTTCGACAGGTTATTGTGTCTTCCCTCGCCCAGCTAGCTACCTGTGATGGCTGCATGTCCGCCAGGGGCAGCAAGAGCCACCCCTCCCACTCCTCCCACACAGGGTCCACCCCGCCCTTTGCCGCACTCACTGACACTGCACCACACACATGAGAGAACTCACAAACCAGAATGGGGCACATACGCAGGCCGCCACCTCACCAGAATCAGACGACGCAGGGCTCGGCAGGGGCCTTCGATGCTGCGGCGCCCATCCCTCAGGCGCCCAGTATGCCTCCACCAAACTCTCACTCGGGCCAAACAACTCACTCCGAGGTATGTTAGACCCACGGACAAGGCGGATGGAGAGCACGTGTGGTGAGGGCACACACAGCGCCGGGCCGACCTGCCAGCGGCCCAGCACCCACAGGGCGACCGTGATGTTCTGCTCTTGGCCATAGTCGAAAGTGAGGGGAGGGGTGCTAGAGGGCCAGTCAGCTCGCAGCGATGTGCAGCCCGGCTCTGCGGATGCGAGAACTGGGATCGCTGCAGGTGTCTTGCGATGGTTGGATCCCATCCCTAACTCCACCCACACCGACTCCACAGCCGCAGGCCGCCCCTCGTCGCTGGTCAGCGTCGCCGCCCTCACTCGCACATCCAGCCGCGGCCTTCCTGCCTGATCGGCGAGGGATGCCCTGCGTGTCGGTCCTTCAGATGGCGGCGTGGTTGTGGCCGGATGTCGACTCACGCCTCTGTGGACGATCCTGCCCCCAACTCGGGTCGCATGCGCAGCGTCCAAAGGCTCCGACGGCCTCTTGTCCGATGCTGCTGCTGCTGGTGGTTGGGCTGAATGAGAGTCTTGCTCCTGAGGGGGCTCGTCCTCGGGCAGCTCCATTGAGGGCTTCTTGGCGGCTGGCAGAGTGGGCGAGGCACTCCTGGAGGGAGGCAGGGCGGCCACTTCGCGGCGACAGCTGGACGTAAGCTGATTCTCACGGCTGAAGGCAGACGGATGCAACAGCAAGCACACACACACGCACACACACACACGTCTCCTGCGAGATGTGGGGCTTATTGGTCGGATTGGCGGAGCACACCTGGGTGCACGTGTGGTGTCTTCTGCCTTGCAAGGGCGCGTCATGAGTTGCTGGAAGCTGGTCCTCAATCGCTCGTCGTATGGCAGCAGCGGGTGCATGAGGGCCGCTATCTGCGATATGCACGACGGTGAGAGCGCAACACCCCCATCTGAACGAAGAAAGATAAGAGCCAGGGCGACACTGAAGCATGAGAATGGATCCAGGGTGCCAGGCTACTACCTGTGAGGGTGGAGAGGATGCTTGCTAAGGTGGCCACAAGAAGGTCCAGGTCACGCTTCAAATGCTGACACAAACACAAGCACCCGGCAATGGGAGAATAAAGAGAACGAAGCCCCAGTGCCTTGTCATGCTGCCGACCTTCATTTGCTTGGGCAGGTGGGGGTGGTGCTGTCTGCTGAGCTGGTCCACCTGCGCCGCAAGCTTGGTCAGGCTCCGCTGCCTCGCAGCCAAACCAGCGCTAATCAGCTCATACTCAACCTTCAGCCCCTCAAGCTCACTCTCCTGCGGGCAGGATGAACACAGGATGGGTGACACAGTGCAATGTGTTCGTTCCTTCATACTTACCAGTCGCTGCCTCAGCCTGGCCTCCTGCTGCCACAGGAAGTGGTAGTACGCAGACGAGCCACTGGACGGCTGCTCTACCAAATTCACCCTCCCCTCACCCACGGCAGCAGGCTGAGCCAAGGGCCCTCGATGCATCGCCATCCCCCTGGGCTGATCTCTCATTGGCCGGCCCAACGACAGCGCTCGCCGACCCCCTCTGCTGGTCTCCGACAGACGGCCAGCAGAGAGGCGCGTTCGTTGGGATGATATCGCGCGGGGTGGGCGTGAAGGCATTGGAACGAGAGGGGCTGTGATGGATGGCCACAAATCATCATTCAGATGATTGTTGCCATGCATTCATCGTTGCATACATACCTGATGCGAAGTCACTTGACATCGTCGTGTTGTGCCTTGTGTTGCGCGAAGGCATGGGAGCTGTTGGGCGGGGTACTGGCGGTGAGAATGACGCCATGATGCCATGATTCAGAGTCAGGACCTTTACTTGTGCGATGTAAAAGTTCACGCGCGGTGCAAGCAAGCAAAGCAAAGGCAAGGAGGCGTCCATGAAAAAACCGGTCGTAACTTATCAAATATCCACACACACACATTCGCATGCAACATCCGGCCACTATCGACACATAGGGGTCAAATCGGTGTTAGGCGTGGTGTCCGCTTCCCATCTTCCTTCCTGCGTCCCTCCCTCCCTCCGTCCCTCCCTCCCTCGGAGCCATCGCAGCCCCTCACTGCACGGTATGAGCAAGTGCAGGATGTACGAATGTACGTATGTACGTATGTATGTATGTATGTATGTGTCGTACACGAAACATGGGTTGAATGGCCACGCGTCCGTCCTCGCCACCACGAAAAGAGAAAAGAGAAAAGAGAAAAAGACATCACATCGACATTCATTCGATGGACAAAGGCATGTACGTACATATGTTCCTACAGCCCCCGCTGAGGAAAAGTGAGATATATAACTGCGTTATGTATGCATCTGGGAGCGACATGAACGACAAATACATAGCTAGATACAGATACAGATACACACACACAGACACAACAGGCAGGCAGGCAGGCAGGCAGACAGGCCGGCCGGGCATACACCCACACCCACACCCACCCACACTCAGTGTACACGCCGCCCTGTCCCTCCCTGTAGAGAGGCAACGGAAACGAAAAAGGGCCCTGCAATGCTGCAGAGACACACAATACAGATACACGTGAGGCTCGTCACTAAGCAGCCAGCCAAGAAAAGAAAAAGGAGGCAGCCGGGCAGCATTGGAAACAGCACGTAGTGCGTGAGCGAGTGTATCAGAACTGCTTGCCCTTGGGGTGTTCTGGGTGCCCGGGATACTCGGTGGGGAACATGCGAGTGCCGGCAATCCAGTCGGCGAAACCGAGCAGCCCATAACTGTATCGGTTGAAGTTGTGGTGCGCCTCGTGCAGTGCGGTGGATTTGTCGAAGCCCATGAGATAGCCGAGTGGCGGGAAGAAGGGGCAGCCCGACCAGAAGGGCAGCTCGCTGCCGGCATGGTCCACGCACACCATCTCGAAGACGTAGTTAATCATCAATATGTACTCGAAGAGGGTGAGGCGGCCGAGCATCATCTCGATCAGGAAAACGTTGATGGAGCCCATCGAGAAGGCCGACAGCATCAAATCCAGAGTACCCAGCCAGGTTCCTGCTTGATTGACGGACACGAAAGGAGCGCATTCACAACGGATGGATGGATGCATGGATGGATGGATGGACGGCCCCTGTGTGTGTTTGCGCCCTCCTTCACTGACCGGCGCTGCCCCATGGGTAGGTGAACGTGTGGTGGTAAGTGTGGTCGGTCCACTTGTACATCCATCGCCAGCGATGCTGACTGTAGTGCACACAATAGTACACACAGTCGGCAAAGATGAGGGCGAACTGCACCTGCACACAGACCAGTCCCATACACAGGAGCCAGTGTGTATGCCGTCATGCAGCAAGCTCCCTCCTCTCCTCTCCTCGTCCCCCTTCCACCCGACGCACCGCACCTTGATGGGAACCATCCACAGAGGATTTCTGTGGGTGAGGTGGAATCGCGGCAGCCAGATCACGCTGCCGATGGCGACCGGGAGGGACCAGCGGACAGTGTAGAGCAGGTGGTTCCGGAAATAGTTGCGATAACTGTAATCGAAGCTGACACCGACGTCATCCTGCGGCTGGTCGGCCTCGGTGTCGGTCTTCCTGGCCCGCAGCTGGTCGCGCTTGTGGGAGCTAAACCGTATGGATGTGGGGAAGATGTCGCTGTCTGCCAAGAAGTCCACCTGCAGCCAAATAAAAACAAAAGCGTCCCATCCATCCGTCAGTCGACCTGCTTGATGGCCGGTCTTACCATCGTGCTGATTGCGAAGTATTCCACCATCGAGATGATGTAGGTGGGGACAGAGAGCGCCAGCCAGTACAGGAAGGCGTTGGAGTTGACCCACTCGGATGCGAACGCCCACAGGTACACGGGGGTGAAGGTGACCTGCAGAATGGATGGATAGATGAGGGGGAAAGAGCACATGCGTGGCACCTCTGGCTTGGTCTCATGCGTCTGAGGTGTGCGTGCGAATGAGTGACCCACCGTGAGAGCGTACGCCAGCAGAATCTGGAAGCCGTTCTCCATCACGTAGAAGAGCGCGTGCAGCCCAAGCCACAACAGGAAGCTGTCAGGCCAAGGGTAGCCGCCGAACTCGGCATTCTTGCTTGGCTTCGTCACGCCAGGCGCCTCGTCTCTTGGGCGGTCATCGACGTGTGTGGATCTGCCTCCGCCGTGCCCACTGGTGAAGTGGCGGCCAACCACGGCGTCGCGCAAGAATTGGGAGACGTACATGGCGATTGACGCGAGACGCGACGGGCTTGATTGATGAATGCCGCCGCGTGCGAGAGGGGAAAACAGGCTCCGCGATGGGCTTTCGGGTCTAAACCCTGCTCCCGCGAGCAGTCTAAACCCTGCTCCCGTCGAGCAGCAGCGGTTTCAGGGAGCACCCTAGGCGGCCTGGCGAGATTTGCGAGCTTTAAGGAGACAGAAATAAATCTCCTTCCTCTCTCCTAAGATTCCGTTCCTTTTTCGTCTGCGTGAGGTGTGACGCGGTGGAGTCTTGGAAAGCTGCTGCATACTTCACCGAGTGCACCGACCAAATAGGAAGGGTTTGAATTGCAAGCACAATGCAGCGGCGACTCTGTCTACTGGCCCACCTTCGCCTCGTCATCCCCTCACTCACCCCCCTCTATCGCTCAACCCGTCCCTCACCCCACCCCCCTTTCTCTCAATGGGAAATACTGCAACAACGTCAGGCAGCCCGCCCCCCTTCATGAATCTGTTCGACGACTTACCACCAGCGACCCGCCAGACATGTCTGTGGATTCATCGATGGTGGACAACAGGAATGGACAGGTGGGCAAACACCATATACACACATACACACCCATCTCTGCGCCGATTTAGTGGCCTCCTCGATGTGTGTCTTCCTGTCTCAGCAGCACACAACCACGAGGGCAGGCTTCTTGACCGATGGATTGGTGGTCTCATTTATTGCAGCTCGGTCGCGACCTGACGCCTGCCCTCGTCATCCCGCCTCCCAGCCCCGGGCTCTCGTCGACAGCCGCGTCGACTGGGGTTGACTCGCTGCTTGGTGAAGTGACTGAGAGGCTGGTGAGTGATCAACCGCCAGTGACACACTCAGCCAGTCAGCCAGAGCGAGTGAGTGGATCTTTCTTTTGTATGTATTGTATGTGTGTCCTTGTCTGTCCCTCCATTGGCAGCTTGCCTACAAGCAAGACCGCCGGCAGTCCATCCTGCAGCGGCCAATATGGGACAAACGCCGTGCCAATGCCCCTTCCAGCGCCATTGGTAGGTGGAGGACGAGGAGGGGCTTTGGGAGAGGGATGCAGTGGAGATGGGGCAGTTGGGCCGGCTTGAAAAGCTGGCCGAGCAGCTGGACCTCAGCAGCACCCCGGTCCCTTTCGAGATGGCCACAGGGCCCGTCTTCATTGAAGACATCCCGCTTCGCCGTAAGCCAATGCTAGTGAAAGCATGTGGCCTACTGATGTGTGTGATGTACTTGCTGCAGACCTCGAATGGGATGATACAATGGCTGTCGGGTGTGGGTCACTGGATCTGGTAAGCGACGATGAGGGAAGATGAGCAAGCTAGGCATTCTGTGGCATGAATACCATTGTAATGCACAAACCAGGTGGAGAGCGCAATGCTAAGGAAACACCAACGAGTGGCCAGAATCGATGTTTTTGTCTTTACACAACGGTAAGCTCTTGGATGTTGGTCATGTCACCACCCCGTACTGACAGATTGACAGTGAATGCGTTATTACATGGTGGAAGTCTTCCTAACCTGCTTCTGTAGATCCGCCTCCGGACCCCGACAACTGGGAGGTCTTCAATTTCCAGAGAGAAGCTGTAGCCTACAGGTATGCGTATACCAATATGCGCTGTCATGCTGTGCTCGTCTGCACATAACGTGTGCATTGATAATCCCCTGTCCGCAGCCACGGACAAATGTTCTACGTTGCCTTGGGGTGTGTTGGCACGATGGGCACACGGAGGCGCGGCTGCTGACCGAAAAAGAGCCTCGCTACTGTATCGTGGTCGAGTTCATTGAAGGCCGTGCGCGAGATCTGCCCCCCTCCCCCCGCACACACTCGAAAGGCACCCACTTGCATGTCTGTGTCTCGTGTTTGTCATGTCTGTGCCTGCTCAACAGACACCCTCGCCGAGCGCCTGCATCCGTCACCGCCAGGTGCCCCGCCACCCTACAACCTGCCTGCCCCGGCCCCGCCGCCACCTCCTCCCACACGCCTACAACGGCTGAGCTGGGCCCGACAGTTGGTACGTGAGCGTATTTATCACCTGTCTGTCTCTCTCTCTCTCTGTCGGCCTATCGTTTCATAAGTGGGTGCATCTTGCGCTTTGTGTAATACCTGCCTGCAGACACGAGGGATTTCACACGTGCACGATCGCGGATTTGTCCATCGCGACATAAAACCTGCGCTTACTCTACACACACATGTGTCCACGCAATCTGAGCTCATCTGTCGACCGGTTTCTTGCTCGTTCAGAATGCCCTGATCCGTGAAGCCGACGAGATACTCAAACTTGCCGACTTCGGGATGGCGGAGTCGTGCGCGGTAAATAGTTTTTTTGTGTCACACGCATATTGCCTGTGATTGTTTGTGTGGGGTGTGTCTGTGTAGGATTTGAAATTCGCAATCCGCCAGACCCGAGGGCCGGCACGTTCAACTACATGGCGCCAGAGATATTCACCAACGGCCGGATCAGCCAGAAAACTGATATCTGGGCTCTAGGTGAAGAAACATGCGAACATTGCATGTGTGGGATGCGTCATGGATGCGTTTGCTTTCTGCTTTGCAGGGTGTTCTCTGATAGAGATTTTCGGTGGCGAAGAGCCATGGGTTTACGAGTGCTGGGACGGGTACACATGGGACTACGACCGGCACTACCACTACCTTATCAGACAGCGACGTCTCCCTTGGGTGTCTCGTAATTGGCCGCGTATCGTTCGACACATCATTGACGATGTAAGTACACACGGCAAAGACATATCGATACTCCAACTATCACTGATCAATGCATGTCTGTGCATGGCTGGAATATAGCGCTGCCTACGTTTTATATCGGTCGGTGGTCTGGAGCAGGGACGTTTGCTGGCTGAAGGCGGCGACTCCCCACCAGAGGAAGAAGAGTGCAGATGATGACAAGGGGGAGACAGGAAGCAGGAAGGCTTGTCTGTGGATGCTATGCATTCGAATTCATGTGTCTTCCCTTTCGCACAGACAGACGACCAAGAAGACGAAGCAGAAACAGTGAAGCAGCCCACACATACACGCAACACAATACAACACACCACACCACACTGGCCTCAGGTTCGTTACCGCTCAAAGCTGATTGATGTACACAATGGATGGGAGGGGCCGAGCGCTGGCTTATTTTCTCTCTTCCTGCCCCATCGGCGAACGAGACGGCCGTGAAGAGAGCACCGCGCGTCTGATCAGATTGACCAATCAATCAATCAGCCAATGAGCCAATCGTTCACCATCAAAGACGCAAACATTCTCACTGGCCATGCTAATGCTCAATGAAAAGGAGTCTGTTTTCGATGAGACCGGTCGTGTGAGTGCCACAACAAGTGGACTTGTTTTGTTTGTCTCGTGTCGGGCCCTGACTGACATGCTCTACATGTGATTGCTTGATGGTATAAGCATGGTGTGTGTATGCCAGTCGACTCAGCACTTCTCCCATGTAGATTGCTTCAATGATCAGCTGTGTGTCGCTGTCTCGCTCAAAACTCCCCTGGAGGCCACACAACCAACGACGATTGGCCACTATCGGCCGCATAGCATGCACGCTCACACACGCACAGACAGGAAGACAGAGTGAGGGCGTCACCTTGATCCATCCATCCAGCTAGCGATGGATACCAAAAATGACCAAGTGAGTGTGTGTGTGAGTGAGTGCGTGGAGCATGACACGACTGTCTACACTCATACGCACACGGAATCCGACACACATGGCATCCGACACACATGGCCGGATGCAGCCCGCCCATCACAACACATGCGATAAAGCAACAGGAGATAGCCATCCTGGCGGCCCGCTTGGTCCCACTTGTGAGCGCACGCGGCAAAAGTGCACGAGCCCACTTCGCACTTGCGCACAGCCACGCACATGGCAGGCCGCGATTGCGGATGGATGTATACGAAAAAACACACTCAGGCCCACACAGTGACGTCTGTCACGCAGCCAAAACGCGGTAAGGCAGGCAGGCAGGACACAGGCAGGAAGAAACAAACGCAGACAGACAGACAGACAGACAGAGATGATGGTAAAGGCATTCATGTGCGGACCACAAAAAGACACCGATCAACGACCGCATCAATGATGCATCCCCTCTCACCCCCCCACTCTCACGTCCCATCCCCCCTCTCACACGTCAGTCAGTCGTGCCGGGCGCTCCATCGATCGAAAAAACACGTGAGTGATTGGCCAGACAGACAGACAGACAGACGCATTGACACACAAACATGACATGTATGGTTGTGAGGCGCCCCCTTGGCTGCCTGGCTAGGCCCCCCATCCTCTCACGCGACTGGACTCGGCAGGGCGCCACTTCATCCCACCACCACTTCCCAGCGACAGCAATCCGCCCTTGAGAGGCTCGAGTTGGCGGACCGCCGGAGTGGTCTGCTTCATGTGCACCGGCACACGCTTATCAGATGCGCCACGCAGGCCGGACGGCAGCAGCCTGCGGGATTGGCGGCTGTAGTCCTCGCACGAGATGTGCAGAAAAATGTTCCCGCCATCCATGTAAGTGTAGGGGCGCAGCGGCGCAGGGGACGCGCAGCTGTTGGTCTCGGGGTCCAGCAGGCGTCGGTGGCCCCACCAGTGCAGAGCGGGCGAGGTGTCCGATATCGTGGTCGCCGCGTAGTATATGAGAGGGTAGCGTGTGGATGCCCGCTTGTCGGAGAACTCCCACGGCCAGAGGTAGGCCTTCTGGTTGTAGGTTATGTGGGACGCCGCCGTGTCCAAAAGTGTGCCGACCTCGTAGTTGTATGTGGTCTCGGTGAGGTTGCTATGCACGACTGAACCAGACAGACAGACAAAGAGCACAGCAGCAGCACGAGGAGGAATGGCCTAACCGTCTCCTCTATCCCTTCGTGTATGTGGTCCTACTTTCGTCGTCATTTGTGCCCGAGCGGAATGAGCACACGTCTTTCCACTCGTTGTCCTCATCAGAAAAGTAGCGCACCACCAACATGATACCGTAGGGGCAGCCGTTCTCGATGTATATGAGCGACGAACGCTGCACACACACCCCAAGCACACCACCGACAAGCCAGCCCAGCCATGTGTGCACTGATGGATCCAGAAACACAACAAACAGGGCTCGCTGCGCACCTCCAGCATGTTCAATGGCGTCGGGCCAACAGACGTCCGGTCGAAAGCACGAGGATCAACCGACGGGCGGGTGCTGTTCGTGTCGGTGGCCGCCGACTGAAGAAGTCTCGTCCCGCTGTCAGATGTCGATGGCACTTCTCGTTGGAGGTCCTGGGCTGTCATGGTCTCGCTGGCGTCCGGGCCACCGTCACTGGTGGTGGGAGGGGGAAGGATGCCGACCGACAGGTCATTGTCGTCACCGGAACCGGACTCGGGTGTGGGGGCAGTCGGGCTGGGCTCTGCGCGTGTGGGGGCAGTCGGGCCGGGCTCTGCGCGTGTGGGGGCAGTCGGGCCGGGCTCTGCGGGAAGGGAAATTACGTCGGGGGCCCTGGTACTCTGAATGAATAACCACCCAAGCGCACACACGAGATGATGGAAGTCAGATCAGGGGGCGAATGGGACGTGCCTGCCTGCTGCCTGTGTGTCTTGCCGGCTCACCTCGTCCCAGGCCGACACTGACCACCCAATGTAAGGCTGGAAGACGGTCGGCGTCTCGGATGGGAACACCCCACATTGGTCACAGGAGCAGACCTCATCGCAGATGTTGCACGGCTTGCAGCAAAGGCAGCCCTCCTCGTAAGTCGAATACGCAAGGAAGGCCAGCTGCACACACATAGGAAGCACACACAAGTGAGTGCCACCTTGAGCAATGCACTTCATCGGGGTCTCTCTGTCTCTGTATTGTGCTCGCCCCCACCGTTGACGACACATTGGCCTTGCCGATTTCCGTATCAAATCTGCCAGGGTTCGCAATCACGTGATCCAAATAGACCCGGCCCGCTATGCGCCAGAATTCGATGGCCGTCTGGTTGTCGCCGTATCCCTGGTCAATCATCGCCTTCTCGATCCTTGCTTGCAGCCATTCGAGGTGGAAGTCGCCAAAATGGCCCACCCTGAGCGCGGCGAACGACTGGACCTCCACAACCTCTTTGCCCCACAGGAACTGCACTCACAGCACCCACAGAGACCAGCGTGTGTTTGTGTAAGATGGGACTCTCCCGCTCCTGACAGCACTTACCCCGTCCCACGTAGCATTGACCTCAGCGACAAGAAACTCCCTGCACCCAAGACAGGCATTACAACACACCGTGAAACAGATCTGTCACGTCCGTTGTCTGTCAGTCTGTCTGTCTGCCTCACTCACTTGTTTGAGCCGCGACGCACATCGCGAGTCCCAACTTGGGCAGATGAGAGCGCCACCAGACAGCAGAACACAGCAGTCGCGAGGCAGTGCGCCATCTCTAATCACTGTTCTTTGCAAGGGAGGGTCTGGTGATGAGTCAGATAAGAAACACGACAGACTTTCAGGTCAGCTCCGATTGATGGGGATTGGTGAGGCCAGAGAGCGCAAGAAGAGAGTAGACAGCATGGGCGGGAGAGGAGAGAGAGCACTGGGACACCCTTTTTCGCATGATCGCGCTGCTCTACCTCGAATTGCCTTCGGTCAACCAGCGCACTATACCAACCGACCTGCCAGCAAGGGGCCTCTCGCATACGCGATCCTTGACAACATGACAAAGCTGTTTTTCTCCGCTTTCGGCATCCTTGCGTTCATCGCATCATCCTCCCACTGCTTCCAGTTCCCGCAGGCATCGCCACTCGTCAAGGAGCGCTTCCGCACGTCCTCAATCGCGCAGCAACCGTCACGGCAGCAGCAGCACACCCCTCTCAGCTCACTTCCGTCACTCGCATCATCCGGATCTCTCGTTGACGGCGTGTCGATGACTGAGCTGGTGGCCTATGACTCATCGTCGTTTGGAGGCTTCACGCTGCCCATCGTGGGGCTGTTCACGCTCTTCCTGATAATCATCCTGCTGGCCCCACCCCTGAAGGGAGAAGACTGAGGAAGACCTTGCACTGACTGTCTGTCTGTCAGCATGATGTGTGTCTGCTGTCAAGGCAGTGGGTGAGTGAGAGATCGGGAGAGGGGGTGGTGGGACTGGCTGTCTGTGCTGTCTGTGAGATGCGAGTCGGCATGCAGTCACATGTGCATTAGCTGATGAGAGTGAGGGATCCACATTTGTTTGCCTGATCACTTTGATTGTGGGTGTTGTGTCGCCCTCGTCGGGGTTTTTGGGCATGGTTGCGGCACGATTGCATGCCTCAACCATGCTACCAGATCTCCATGTGAGGCGGAACCACACACGACAGGCCATTAGCCAAGCGGAAACATGTGTAAAGTGGAGGAAGACGGGACGTGGTGGGTTGGGAAAAGGGTGGCGTGATGGACTGCAGACTGTGTGAAGTGAACTGTCATCGGGATGCCGTCGCAAACTGTCGATTTAACATGAAATCGATGCAGTGATGCAATGCTGCGCAGCGTGGAAGTGTTACAAAAGAGCCAACACATTTAGCAAAGCCAGGTGTCTTCCCCCATCCACCCCACGCCACGCAGACACACACCTGCACGTCACTGTCAGCACACACAGAGATTGACAAAAAAGACCGAACGCCGAATGAGTGGACAACCATCAGACACCATCCATCCGCTTCACTGCTGCTTGTGTCTGTGTCTGTGTCTGTGTCGTCTGCCCTTCCCCTTTCCCCCCCACCCCCACACCCATCCCCAACATCGTCGCACTCACACTCCGAAACCGCCGAAACACAGACGCACCCGTCGGCGCGTTGGTGTCTCTCTCTTCCCCCCGTCCATGTCCCTGGTGGCTCTGCGACGTCAGCGCGCGAGAGAGCGAGAGGGACAGCCGCGTGTGCTGCGAGTAAATGGGCATCGACCGCATCCGCACCACCTGAGCCGGGGGCTTGGTTGTGTTGAGAAAGTCGACAACGTCCAAAGTCCCCGGTGCCCTGCCCTTCCCCGCCACCTCCTCTATCTGACCCAAAGAGGACAGCGAGCGTCTCAGAGCCTGGCTGAAGGTCCGCACGCGGACGAGCGGCGCCTGGTGTGTCGGCGAGGGCGGCTGTCTGGCCAGTTTGGTGGGGGGCTGAGGGTGCTGCAAGTCGACTTCTACCCAGACCTCCTCCTCCTGCACTGTGGGCATGGGCGTTGGCTCCAGTGAGTGCGTCATGGCGGGGCTGATGTAGCGCAGCTCCTGAGGCATGGCCTCCTTGGCCGTCATGAGGGCGGTGGGCCTCATGGGAGGGCTGCGGTCGAGGGATGGCGTCTCCATGCTTCTGGTTGTGCCAATGCTCAGACGCTTGTCCACTGGCAATGCCAGGGGGGTCTTCTTGCCAATGTTGGGAGTGGTCTGCTCGCCCCCCTCCCACCCCTCCAGCAGCTTCTGCTTGGCCGCCTCCACCCTCTTGTTGGCACTGCAGATCCACAACCCCATGGCAGCCCCCCACACGACGCTCAGCAGCAGCATCGTCAGGCCGAGTATCTCGGCATCGTAGAGGCCGCACAGCTCCAGACCAGACAGCCACAGGACGAACAGCAGGAAGCGGATCACCCACACAGTCCGCACAAACCGGTAGAGCGCCTGTCCCACCAGCAGCCCAAGGGCGAGAGTCACCGCCAGCAACACGTACAGGGGCCAATACTCGCCGCGATGGGTGCCGTTGATGCCGTAGGTCATGTTGCGGATGCACAGCTCCATGCAGCACGCCACGCAGAAGGAGGCCTTGACCAACGGAGGCGGCCATTGGCGGATGGAGAAGAAGATCAGTGCAGTCGCGCCCACGCCTGTCAGCCCCATGGAGACGCCGGTCATGGCCCCTCCCCAAATTGCGTCGAGCATCAGCCGCCGACTCATTTTGGGGTAGTTTGGATCTGACGGCTCCGCAGGGATGGGTGGGTTACCGGCAGAGGGCTCGGTGAGGTCGGCAGAGGGCACCCTGGTGCTCATGTTCTTCTTCAGAGGCTCTGGGGCAAGCGACTGCGCCTTCTCCAGTTCTGCCATCTGCTCGTCGGGTATGGACGCATACACCGCCCAGATGACGTTCTTTCTGATGTCGTTGGTGGCAGAGAAGGCCGCAAAGAAGAGGAAGAGCACACCGAGACAAATGTTGATGACGTACGTGTCGAGGTTCTGCAGCAGCCAGGCCCCCAACACGCTCGTGAGCATGCCGCACCCGAACGCGATGCCCACGGGCCAGTAGCGCTTGGCGCCCTCCCTCTCGAAGAAGAGCACCGAGAAGTTGGTGATGAAGGAAGTGGCCGTGATGGCCGCCACACGGGCCTGCAGCGAGATGTGCTCGTTGATGGCGGGGTAGCCGAGGGCAATGAGGGTGAAGCAGCAGTGGTATATCACACCGTCACCGATCCCCGCCAGCCCCTTGCAGAACCCGCCCATCAGGCCACTCACACCCTGTGTGCAGCAACAACAGAACAGGAGCGTTATGCATGATGGTTCGCGGGAATGCCCATGCAACGTGCTCTTTCTTGCAGCTTACCATAATGAGAGCTTCATCTAGCCGGAGGGACATCTTGGAGCACCAAACTTTCACGAGGGGAGGGAAGGGAAATGAGAAATTTGACTTGGGGCCGCGAGCCGCGAGCCGCGAGCCGCGAGAGTGGGGCCCGCCAGAGAAAATATGGCTGCACGGCACAACCGCTGTCGTTTGGTGAGCCGGGTCTTCATTGGTGAGCACAAGCGACAAGAGAAAACAAATCGGGACTGTGTTGCCTTTCTCCTCAGGTGTCGCCCTTGTGTTGGGGCTGGCACTGCAAGCCACCGATGCTGCACAAGACTCACCTGCACTCATGGCGAGACAGGCACGATCTGTCGGCAGAAGGCGCACGGTCGGCAGGGAGCTCCTGCGGCTCCTGCGGGGGCGGACAGGCCTCCACACAAGGCGGCTGCATGACTTGATGTTGATGCGTCGGGCTGTCAAGGCCAGCCGGCGGACACACACAGGTAGGAGCACAGACACAGAGATGGGCACCCATGTGCACAATGTCATGCACACTTTGGTCCTTCTTGTCCCCTCTCTGTGTCGTGTTGTGTGCAGCCCGGTTGGCCTGTTTCGCCGTGGATACATACATCAGTGGACCAGACAAACAAACAGCTACCAACATCTCTGATGCACTCGGCTGCCAACGTCTGTGCGCGCGCCATGCCGGGTGTGGAGCCTTCACCTATGAGCAAGAGTCACAGACATGCCGCCTCAAGAAGGGCCCACTGTCTCGCAGCAGAGTGGTGTCTCGGAAGGGGACACTGTCAGGCCCTGCCAGGTGTAAAGTCAGAACGGAACAGAGGAAGGGGGAGGTATTCTCGTCAAGGAGGAGAAGGCTAAGTGAGCTGCGAGAAGGAGGCGAGACATACGAATCGTGGATACCGGGAACCCATGGATGAGTGTGTCTCGTGTGTCTGCCTGCCTGCCTGCCGGTGTATGGGATGATACAGGTGCGAAGAAGATCACGAAGAAAAGAGCGGAAGAAGGAGAGGAGGATGACAACACACTCCGGCCAGACCTATGTAAGTCAGATGGACAAGCCAGCCCCCCGTCGTCTGTACGCATGTTTGTATGCATGCCTCTTCTTCGTCTATTTTCAGCCTTGTTAGGCCGTCTGTCTGGTGGAGTCAAAGCGTGTTGGCGGCTGGCTCGCAAGTACCCCATAATGGCGGGGGCGCTGATGTCTCTGCTGGTGAGTTTCTTCCTGTGTTCGTGCTGCTGCGGCAAGAAGGCCAGGCTGGTCCTGAGGCGCGGCTCACTCACATACCTCACCGCACCTGCAGATCTCATCACGTTAAGTGGGAGACACAGGACGAAAAGCAAGGGAGACATAAGTGTGTCGTGTGTCGTCATCTAGGAGTGCGAGGTTGCGGAAGAGGTCTTCGCGTCGAAACAATGCGGTGGAGGATGACATGACGAAGGAGCAGCGGCGGATATCCCGCGGCTACCACAGGATGAACACCGACACCATGCGCGGCATGGCCGATGGCGGGAAATGAGGAGCGAATGCACTCGTCGCTCACCGGACTTATGTAGCTATGTTGCGGGTGTGTGTACCTATCGTCAGTAGCAAGACGGACCAACAATCCTCTGTGCGTGTGTAGAGAGAGGGATTCTGGTCAGCCGGCCTGCAGCAGGGGTTATTTGTAGCCACGTAGCGAGTTGCAGGCTGTGTGCGTGGGTGGGTGTGGGGCAGCCAAGGCAAAGGAAGGGCGTGTGCCGAGATCTAGGAGCAATGTCTTTTGTATGCATGTGTGAGTGTGTGTGTGTGTGAGCCCACATGTCGTGTTTGACTTGGGACCTGTTTGTTGGCTCCTTCGCGGTTCGATGTATATCTATATGTCACGTCTGGTTCGTGAAAAAGTGCGTGAAAAACCCGGAACTTCAGCACAATTGATGGCCGGCGTGAATCCGCACACACATATATACACACACGGAAGCAAGAGCTACCTACATGTGCGTCGGGCCCCGTTTGGTTTTGTACAATTGGCTTACTGATATCTATGGCACATCACATGTACGTATACAACGTCGTGTTGCACCATGTACTGATAAATAAAGTCCACACGCCAACACAAAGACAGAGCCACATATCCATGCACCTCACCCACCTACCCACCTCTACATATCCACCCACCTCTCTCTAGAATGTGTACACACACCTCACACAAACAAATGCGCCCACCTGCTTTGCCTGCTGCCCCCCCGGCCGTTGCGCACCCGTCCATCCAAATAAACACACACACACATGATGGATGCATGCGGCGGCCAGTGGCTGAATTGCTCGATGAGTGAGTGAGTCGATCGTCAGACGAATGCGGACCATCCCGCGAACATGGGTGCCAGGTTGGATTCCCTCATGGCGTTGTTGAGCAGCCGCTCCACATGCACCGAGACCTGCAATGGCGTGTTCTCGCCCTCGTCAAAACCCGCCAACCGATTGCGCACCTGACAAACACGACAGACAGACAACAGACAGACAGACGGACACACCATTGCCCTCATGGCACGCTTCACATGAAGCCATGTACAGCACTACTGGCCTACAGTGATCATGGCCGTGTTTGCAAAGGCGTTCTCGTCTTCCGCATTGTATTCGCCAAACACGCCCGCATCCGGTGACGGCCCCCTCGCCCCTCTATTCCCGCCACCACCGCCACCACCGCCACCACCACCACCAGCAGCAGCTGCTGCTGATGCCGCAGCCGTACCCCCCCGCCCACCGGCAGAGCTCTGCTGTGCGGCCGAGTTGGCGGCCGCTCCCCGGCCCCTGACGCTCTGGGCTGTGTGTTCTTGTTGGCCGTAGTTGTCATTGTCGTGCGTGTGCTGCAGCTGGAAGCGCTTGCGTGGGCTCAGGGACCACTGGTAGTGGGGGTCGTACAGAAAGACCTCGAGCACCGCCAGCACGAGGGTGTTGGACTCGCGGAGCACCTGCAGGGTGGCCTCACACAGCCTGCGGAAGTTGCCCTCGACGCCCAGCGCCCCCAGACCGGCCACAGTGTCGCGTGTGAGGCGGAAGGGGACGAGTTCCGGGACGCCCATGGTGCGGCCTTGATCGAACATGACGCCGAAGTCAATGTGCACGTGCTCGCCCGTCGAGTTGTCCAGCAGGATGTTGCTGAGGTGCCGGTCGCCCAGACCCACGATGTAGCCCACCATCGAGTTGGCCGCCACGCTCGTCGCGTAGCGAAGACGGTTGCAGTACCTGCACACACGCAAACATACAGATTGTTTCGTTGGTCTGGTACCGTCTGGCGCGCCAAGCCAAGCCATTCATCCTTCCCTCCCTCCCTCCCACCATTCGTGGGTGGATGGGAATTTCTCGAGGAAGAATGCGTGCATGACAGGCTTGAAGTTGTCGCAGACGTCGCGGAAGACCTTGATCTTCTTGCGCCGAAGGTTGGCCGTCGCTCTGTCGAGCTGCTCACGGAGGGCCCGCTCGTCGGCCGTCAGCCGCTTTCTCTCGTTATCGCCAATGCTCTTGTTGCGGAGCCTGTCGCGCAATTGGCCGACCTGACCGCGCAATTTGGGGATGGTGTTGTCCTCGACGCCCTTGATGAGCTTGCGGCACGTGTCGAATGAGTAGTCGTTGGGCCGGTAGTGCTCGTGTGCGCCCTTGAGGTACTCTGCGAGGGTGGTGGTGTTGCGCACAAACTCGGTCACGCCGTGCTGCGGCGAGAGGGGCAGCACCTTGTAGGTCCGCAGACGGATGTCACGCTGGCGGGTCTGCGGGATCGACGAGAACACCTGTTAACACACACACACGCATAAAATGATCGCTCGGATGGCTGCGCAAGGGAGATGGGATGGGATCGACCGCATTGTGTGGCTCGGTTGCTGGCTGCACGCCTACCCACCTTGTTGAGTAGCATGAAGAGCTGTTGTGTGACAGCGTCCTGCCTGAGGTCGTCCTTCGCCTTGACCACCTGCTTGTGCTCCCGGCCGCTCGTGTCAGACATCTTGACAAACCGCGGATGGGACAGACCCGTATCGCTCACCTGAACACGCTCAACAAACCGATTGATCCGCGGGACGTCGCACTCGCCAGTCTTGCCGTCCGACACCGTCTTCCCTCGCTGCCAGCCCCTGCCGCCCGCAGTGGCAGACGCCCGGACGAGAGCCCCCATGACATTCTCGGGCAGCTCGGCGGTTGGGACGGGCAAGAGGGAGAGCCCCTTGGCGACGGCGCGGTAGTTGGGGACCTTCTTGATGTCGATCTCCCGCGTCCTTTCGTCGCCATAGGTGGACAGGGCGATGTAGAGCTCGACGAGGTCATCAGTGGCCTTGACGGCCTGCTGGAGTCCGTCGATGGTCTTGAGATAGTCGAGCAGCTGCTGCGCACCCTCGATCTTGGGCGCCTACACGTGAGTCAAGTGCGCGAACAAGATAGTCACACATCGGCCGACCGACAAAGGGTGCAAGTCGAGCGATGCTTGCATTCATTCATTCCTTCGTGCCGTTGGCTCACTGCCTCACCTGAGGTGTGAAGGCTGACCTGCCTCTCCTGCACCATTGCGGGATCAAACCGACACAGACACGGACAACACAACACAACACGTGCACATGAATGAGAGAGGGGGCACCGACCATCCCTCGTCTATCGCTTACGCGCCAGCGGGTATCTTGTCTCCGTTTCGCAGCGCAATCAGAGGATACAGGCAGTGGAAGGCATACGAGCGACACTGGGCAGGCAGGCAGGCAACACACACACACACACACCCCATCACTCAATCGACCAGTCAAGTCCAGCAGTGTGCGAAGACTGCTGTTGCCGTACCAGTGCTTTGAGGAGTGCGTCGATACACTCCTGGAATGGGGTGAATGGCGGCGGTGTGACCCGTGACGCGATCTGGTAGATGAATGGCAGGAAGTGCCGCATGTGGATCTTCCGCTGGTTGACGGCTTTGGTCAGGTTGGCCGGCAGCTCCTCGAACTCACTCCCGTAGTCAAACAGAAGACCCAACAACCGACACGCCAACCTGGCAATGTGCACGTTGACCACACACACACATGGCCAGCCGTTGGCGCCTCTCTCTCCATCTCACTCGGTCAATCTGTCTGTGCGTGTACCTGGGTGCGTCCTTGACGTGGCTCTGTGAGAGAGCATCGGTGTAGAGCGTGGCCGCATCCACCGCCCAACCACTCACCTGCTCAACATGCACAAGCAAGCGATACGATGAAAATGAATGCATTGATGTACGCACGCACAGCGGCTGCCTGCATGACGTGTGTGTCTTGCATACCTGCTGCAGCTCCACCTCGAGTGCATTGTTGTCGCCAAGCACCTTCTTCTCCAGCTGATCCTTGTGCAAAGCCCACGCCTTCTTTTCCTTACAACAAACATCACCGACAACAACTCTTCAGCCCGGCTGCCCGCCACGCACGAATGACAGTGATTTGGTGTGCTGTGCGCCTGTGAGATGTGTACTGTACATGTGCTTCGGTGCTCTTGTCCTCCATTTCCTTGATGCAGTTGTCGATTTCCGCCTCGGCGTGCTCTCGGATCTGCCGCGACTTGATCGCCTCCAACGAGCTCTGACGCTGTCGATGCGCCTGCACACACACACACACACACACATCCAGACATCTCTGTCTGGTCGTTGCATTCATATATCCAGCCACCCACTTACCTTCAGGAGCTCGTCGAGCATGGCGGCGAGACTCGCTTTGGCCAGCTGCTCGCCCTCCACCGACCCCAGCTTCATGGCGGGCTCCAGGTACTTCCTCCGCACCACATTGGCATCCACCCAGCGGGACGCGAACAGCCACTCGCCCGTCCGGCTCAGCACCTCACACACGTGCACCAGATCTGACCCACTCACACCACCACCGCCACCGCCACCGCGGCCACGGCTGCCTCCCGGCTGGCCTGTGCTTGTGGCGGCTTGCAGCGCATGGGCCGCGAGACTGCTTGCGAGTTTGAGGGCACGGCGGGTGTCCTCTGACTCCCAGAAACATTGAGCCAGCTCCCACTTGACCAGAAACGAAGCAGGCAGACCGCCGCCACGGCCCAGATCGATCCGTGTGGCCACGGTTGGTTGCAAAAGTGCCCGGTTGGTCTCATGCAGCAGCGTCAAGGCCTGTTGGATGCGGCCGTTCCTGCGTGTGGCCTTGCCCAGCTCGAGTAGGTGCTGGTAGAGGGGCTTGGGCTGGCCGCAGCAGCTGAGCGCCGACACCTGCAGAGCTGCGAGTGGCTCCACCAGTGGGTAGAGGACTGGCGTGACGGAGAATGGGTCCAGGAAGGTCGACAGGTCGCGAGACCAGGACTGCTGGAGCTTGATGATGCTCGCCTCAGCATCCTGCGGCCGTTGGTGGTCCAGCAGACACCCGGCCGCCTCTCTGACAGCTTCGGTCATGCGGATGCGCATGACGGCCGTGAAGAGATCGGGTGGCGAGCACCATTCGCCGATGCGGATGGTCTGCAGCGTGTTGAGGAGGGCATGCTCCACCTGCTCCAGCAAGCGGGGGTGGTGGGCCTCAGCAGCAGCGGCGGTGCTCATCTGCACGTCCATGTCATCTGCCATTGTCAGCTGCCGCATGCGATCCGAATGCGTCTTGAGGTTGCTGAGGGTCTGGTAGAGGTGGACGTGGAAAGCCTCACCGTGGCGCTCGAGCCACTGCGGCACATGTGCAGCCGACGTGATGGCCCCCCATTGGCGGAGCCGCCACAGGGCCTCCATCCGCTGCTCCCATACCTCCAGCTGCCGTCGGTCGCTGCTCGGGTCCACCTGACGAGCCACATCAGCCGCCGAGCCATCCTGAGGCCACAGGCCGTCCAGGTACCCCAGCAGGATGTTTTGGAGGCCATTCTGCTGAAATACGGTCGATATCTGTCCGACTCGGCTGTCAACATCAGTCGTCATGTCAGTGTCGCCACTGGGCTGGTGCAGCAGGGTCATCGAGGATGCGTTGTGTCTGCCGGCTTCTGATAGGACCACGGCCTCGTGTGCCCAGCTCGAGAGGCTGCCGTGAAGGGGATCCCCCAGGTCGAAGGAGAGCTGCTGGCTCGACTTAACGAGCTCCCACACGGCATGCGGCGGCCGCTGGAAGGAAGCGTTGATGTCTGAGTCCTCGACCGGCGGCGCCTCGGCCCTTTGGTCCTGCGATGATTCCCCCGAGCTCGCCAGGCGCGTCTGCACCTGCATAGTGAGGAAGGCCTTGTCGGGGCTGAGGTTGGGGAACATCTTGGTCATCTGCAGCTCCAGGTACACAATGGCGTCGGCCGGCATGCCGATCTTGTACGCAGCGTCGGACACTGCCTGGAGGTCCAGCGTGTTCCAAAACGCCCGCGATCGCCGCCCCTGCTCCTGCTGGTCGTTGCCCTGCTCGGTGAAAAAGGGCACCGCCTGGTAGAGGACAGTCGTGAGGGACAGCCGCATCAACTGCAGCGCACGCAGGAACTGAGCCACCGCCATCCGGCTCGCATGGTTGGTCCGCCTGTCGCTCCCCTCGCCTGCAGCATCAGCGGTGCTGGCAGCGGCACTGCACCCTTTGTCCGCCCTCGGTCCGGCTGCAGCTGCTGCAGCTGGTGCTGGATCGGTTGCCGTGTGGTCGTCAGTGGTGGTGCTCGCGTTGACGAATATGTGTCGGTTCATCATGTCCGCGATCTTGCATGCGAGAGGGGTGAATGCCGTGACGTACTCGAGTAGCAACAGCGGCAGGACAGCACGAGCGAAGCCGGGGCTGCGCATGGCCATTGGCACCAGACGACGATACAGCTGAAAAGACCAAGATAGAACCGCGATTGATGTTTGGGTGCCGTCCCTTCATTTATCGACCGGTGCTCACGTTTGCTGTTTCTTGTCGTGGCAGCTTGACTTCGTCCGATGTCGGACACAGCAGCGAAGCGCTCAGATGGCACAGCCACGAGTCGTACCCTGAAAGACCACCAATGCGACACGCTGCCTCGGAGAAATGTCTGAGTCTCTGACCTTCGTTCGACTTCGTGGCACCATCTGCGTCGGTAGGCAGCGCCCAGCACCCCTCCCAGTTGAGTGCGGACACGTCAATCTCCCCATCCCTCTCCCCCTCTCCCGCGGCACCAGCGGCCATCTCAGTCATGTCTCCCAGCGACACCTCCAGCTGTCGCGCCAAACACTGCCGACACCGCTGGAACACCGGATCACCCACCAGCGCCTCAAGGGTCCTCAAACCCACCTCTCGCACAGTCTTGACCGTGTGGTTGAGCGACGTGACAGCGAAGAGGAAGCCAAGCACAGCGACGGAGGGCACCACCAGGCCCAGCTCTCGCACGATGAGTGGGCGTTCGCCGTCCACGGCTTGGTTCCGCGGGTCTGGTGTGCCGTATTCAGAGGTCCAGACGAGGTCGAAGGCCATGGTGGCATCACGGGCGAGGTTGGCGGATAGGTCCTGACGGAGAGCATCGGACACGAGCTTGGTATCACGCAGACCCTCATGGCTAAGCAGCCGGGCCGTCTGCAGCTTCCACGCCTCGGGGAGATGGTCCGACGTCCCGAGTCTGGAGATGTTGACCAGGTGCCGCACCACCATGCTCACAAACACCCGTGGTCCTGCCGGGGCCGACTCTCCACTGGCCCTCACGGCGCTGGCGTGTGCCTTGGCCCCTTTCAGCCACAGACATATCGCCGCCACACGCCGGAGGAGCAAAGCGGAGCCGAAACTGTTGGAGAGGCGGTCCGCCCACGATTTGGCGGCGGCCATGCGAGTACGGTTGTCGCATGCCCGCTGGTCGTGGTCGGTGAGCTCATCCATGAAGAGCCTCAGCCGGTCCTCTGGAGACAAGACGGCGTCACCACCCGATGCGGCCAGCACCGCCTCCGTCGCCTCTGCAGACGGCCACAGTGGCTCATTGTCGGCATCATCGGTGTCCATCGGCACTGGCTCGACCCCCGGTCGAGCCGCATCCTCTTGGGCGGGCTTCTTCTTCTTGGCCGCTGGCTCGCCCTCTGCGGCGGCTGCCTTTGTGCCGCTGCGTCGCCTCTTGCCTAATTGCGCCGCTGCAGTATCCGTTTGTGCTCGGAGGCTTTCTTGGATGTGCTGCAGACAGTGTGCTGCGACAGAATTGACGGCCACGGCTGCTGTGTCGGGGATGATGTCTGCAGCGGCAAAGAATGGAACGAAGGAGGGTCCCAACACCTCAACCACACTGGGCGTGTCCGCCTGTGTGCGGCCTCTCGTGTTGAACCTCGTGCAGCGAAGGGGCAGCAGGCGAAGGACGGCCTCGCCGACGATTTTGAAGACGGGGCAGGTGGCCATCGTCACGCTGGGCTCGTCGCAGCTGCCGTCCGCCCCTCCGCTGCTGCTGCTGCTGCCCTCCCGGCTAACCATGAGACCGCCGTACTTCTTGACGACGAGCTCGAGCAGGAGATCCATGATGCCCGGAGCAGGGCGGTCGAACAGCTGCAGGAGGATGGCGTCGGTGCACTCCCTCAGAATGCGGCACACCTCGTCGCTGAGCGTCCGCTGCCACTTCTCGTTGGTCTCCTCTGGGGCTGCCAGCGCCCCTCCGTCCACCATCCAGGACTGCCGCACATCCGGCCAGCTGCCGGCCGTCTTGACCATCCGCCCGCCCGCCGACTCGCGTGCCTCCATGGCGCTTTTGAGGTGTCGCAAGAGGAAGTTGATGAGGTGGCGGACGTGCGACGTCTGCTTGAGCACACACGACGTCATGCGCAGGAAGTCCTGGAAACAGCCAGCCGCGGCCTTGTCTGGGGTCGCACCGTCTCCGTGCGAGAGCAGGACGGCGCTGTCGAGTACGAGGAGCATGTGTTTGAAGTTGGCACTGACGAAGGCGTCCAGGTTGGGGTAGCTGTCGATGGGTGTGGGGATGACCTCGGAGAGGGCGGCCTGCAGGCTGGGGAAGGCGACGGCCGCGACGGCATCGCGGGGCTGGGCTTTGAAGCGCAGCATGCTCGACAGCACCGATGACCGCAGGTGCTGCTTGAGCACACTGATGATGTTGCCGCTGCCGAGCAGCTGCTTCAGATATTCAGACGCACCGCCGTTCTGCCCCTTGATCATCAGCAGGATCGCCACCAACGCTGGCGCCACGGCGTCGCGGAGCTCGGGTCCCTTCTCCTGATTGTCCTGACGACATCCACACACAGCGCGCACACAAAGCCAGCATGCAGCTGGAGCCCGTCTCTCTCTGTGCGTGTGCCTGGCGTACCCTCTTGAGGCCGAGTGCTTCGCGGAAGCAGGGCATGACTTTGTTGGGCTCCAGCCCGCCGAGGATGCACGCACTCACCAGCATCGCCGAGTTGGACCACAAGAAGTCCGAATGACTCGCACCGCCATCGAACAGCTGGGTCGGAAACTGCCCCAGAGGCAGCTTGCGTCGGATCCAGCCCGCGGCGATGTGCTGCATGTGCCTGGCGAGCAGTGTCGGCTGCTCCTGCATCAGCGACTGATCCATGTGCCGGATGGCCAAGAAGCACACTTGGACCAGGGATGGCTCCCTCGCCACCGCGCATATCGATGTGAGGAAGTCGACAGTGATCTCGGGCGCGGCGATGCCAGCGCGAGCGAGGGAGAGGACGTCGGCCACGTGGTGGGCTGAAATGAGCGCCTGGAATGCGTCGGCCTCCACCGATATGCCGTGCTTGTGCAGGAGCTGTCTGACGTCTTGGTCGATCTTCACTTCCTTGTTGCCGCCCTGCAGCTGCTCGAGGCGCTTGAGAGCCTTGGACTTGAACTCCTCCGACACCTCAGCCGCGGGAAACACCTCCATGCTGACCCATGATCAGAGATGCACAAACGATACATTGACACTCAGCAGGTCTGTCGTTGCAATCATGGCTTCTGTCGTTGCAATCATGGCTTACAGAGGAGCAGTGCACCATGCTGCAGCAACCAGACGCACCTGCATGGGAGATGCAGATGGATGGACACAGAAGAGGGCGATCCTTGCCTGCCCTGTCGGCTGTGTCTCCTGAATTCACTCACTCACTTCAGGGTTGGTGTTGGCGTCAAGAATGAGGTTTGGGACCCTGTTCATCACGATAGTGCACAGCGTCTCAATCACGTCTGGTGCCACACGATGCTTGTTCCTACGACCAGACACACACGAGTGTCTGTCTGTTTGTGTACGCGCATGGCCAGTCCACCCCTGAGCCCGCCCACCTCTGGAGGAACCGGAGCGTCGACGCCGCCATGACGCCGAAGGCAACGTGGTGGTGGGGAGTGAAGATCTTGTGTCGCTTGGCCAGGCTGCTCAGCAGCCGGCACACCACTGCGGGCGAGTCGTTGCCGCCCGTGAGGTGCGTGAGCACGCCGCACAGCTCCCACTCCTTGCCGGCGCTGCGGCTGGTGTCGATGGCCCACAGCACCAGCCGGCAGAGGGGAAACACCACCATGAGCGCCATTTGCACATTCAGGGCCGCAAGGCGAATGGCGCACCGGCACAGCATCCCCACAATGGTCATGGCACCTGACAGGTGGATCGGTGGGCGTCTGGACACGAGTGCGGTGACGACCAGTGCGAAGACTCCCATCTGCTGGGCGCAGGGCATTCTTGAGGCGGTCTCCTCCTCCCCGCTGCGTCGAGCCTGCTGCCGATCCGCCACTTGCTCGTCCATTACCAGTGACTCCAGTGCCTGAAATGCACACATGCGTGATGACAGCGTGCCCTGCGATTGATGGGGTGCCTGCGTGATGTGAGAGTCTCACCTTCAGCATGCCGCTGTAGAGTCTGTCTGTGGCTTCATCCACCGGCCCGACAGTCCGTGCAGGATTGACCAGCAGGTCCACCTGGATACGGATCACCGCCGCCCGAGAAGGCAGAAAGGTCGAGAGAAGCTCCGACTCTGCAGGGGTAGCGCCTTTCGGCCCGCCGTGCCGCGGCAGTTGCCACTCGATCTCCATGTCGGTTGGCTTGCCCTGGGCCCTCCCGTCTCTGTCCCCCTGCTGATCCTCGAAGAAGGCATCAGCCATGTCCGCACCCTGATGGCCTCCATCCTGGCCGGGCCTGGGTGGTGTGCGCATTCCGAAGTCGTCTGCATCGTCTTCTGGGTCCAGCTGCGGGGCCGCCGATGCTCGCTGCTGCGTGCGGGCTGCACCTGCGGCCGCTGCTGCCGGGGCCGCGCGCCGGTGGTTGCGATTAGACGAAGAGGGCTCAGTGGGGCTGGTGGCCACCACAGCCGATGTGACGCTGAGGTTCACTGTTCGCTGCAGCAGAGCCATCAGCCGGCCTCTGAGGGTGGCCACGGACAGCAGCCGCGTGCCCTCGCCGGCTGCCTGGCCCCCCTGTGACTCGAGAGCTCCTCCCGCGTTGATGCGATCGTTGAGAACGGCGGATGTGTCGAGGAAGAGTGCGAATGAGCATCTTGGTTTGCCGGTCTGGCTGGACACGATGCGCCTGCTGGCCTTGTTGTTCATGACGGGGTAATTGCACGAGAAGGGGAGGCCGTGCCGCTCACTGATCGCCAGCAGCTCCGCCAGCTCCAGCCAGATGGCCGACGCGAAGGCCCGGATCTCCTTCTGTGTGGCCTCGTTGGTGCTCTTGGTGGTCTTGCCCTCGAGCAGTCGGTGCAGCCAGAAGACCACCAGATGGATACCCAGCCACACCCCGGAGTCCAGCGAGCTGCAGTCGTGCACCTCAGGCGCATCCGGCGCGTCAGCTGGGGCAGGACACGAGACCTTGGTCGCCAGCCAGAGCACTCTCAGCAGCCCAATGACGGCCTGGAAGGCGCTCTTGGATAGACTCGGCATCCAGAATCCGTCTGTCGACTGCAACAACGGATGCCGCCGCGTCGCTTCGTCCGTGCCTCCCGCCCCTGCACTAGCGGCGGCCGCAGCCGCCGCCCCTGTCTCGTGGACGGTCTGGAAGAACATCCCCGCACGGCGAGACTTGCCGTGTGTGGGTGTGGTGGCGACCACCTCATCCTCGGTCTCGTTGAGGAAGAACGGGAGGAGGGTGTCGACGCTGCGAGCGACGGCCGCGTGAAGGAGCGCCATCGAGTGGGGTGGGAGGGGGGCGGGGCCGATGGCTTCGGGGGGTGTCGGGGGGTGGGAGATGCCCCAGTCTGAGAGTGTGGGCCGCATCAAGAGTGCAGTGCCGCTTCTGGCGAGCATGGCGTCCTCGACCACCTCACTGTCGCCTGGCGTGGCGGCCAGCATGGCCCCAGCGACACTGTTGCCCTCGCCCGCCTCGCCCTCGGCCGTCACCTCCAGTTCCAGACACTCATGCCAGACAGAGGGCAGACAAGCTGTTTGGTACACACATACACGCAGCACATTGAACATATAACTGAGGCTGGGCTTTCGGTGTGGTCTGATCGCTCACCTGAGAGGTGGAGCTCCTTGAGTGTATTGTTGACAGCGGGATGTTGCTGGTGCTGGTGGAGTGCGCTGAACAGGCTGGCGGCCTGCACGACCAGGTGGCGCGACTTGAGGCTCTCGCCGATCGACACAGAGAACGCCAGCAGCCGATTCACCACATGCGGCGGGAGAGTGTGGCGGTGCCGAGACGCGATGGCCACGCAAGACTCGGCCAGCCAGAAGGGCTGTGTGGCCATCGCGATCGCACCAGAGCCATGACGCTGCACCTGTGCGTCGAATAGCCGCAGCTGTGCGAATGCGGCGATCTCCTGTCGGATGCTGTTGGATGGGAGCAGCACCAGCAGGTGGTGGAGCAGCCGGCACAGCGCACTCTTGGCCTCTGAGAACCGCGTGTAGCGGGCCGCCAGCAGTGCCGGCAGACTCGACAGCAGCCACCGCAAACTCGCGAGCAGTGTGTCCTCCCACTCGGACGGCGTGTGGATGGCGGGCACGTCTGCCACACCGCCGCGCGACGAGCAGAAGGCGGCGTTGTTGGTGGTGAGCACACTCATCTGCAGCGGCACCGCGTTGAACTGGGTGGTGTGTTGCGGCGAAGGTACGTCACTCCCTCCATCCTCTGCTGAAGTGCTGGGTGTGTCGCCTTGTGTCGGTGCCGTGCAGCGCTGTGGTGCGAGCAGATGGTTGAGGAAGAGGCACTCGAGGACGGCCGTCTGCCCGAGCAGCCAGCAGTAGACGTCTGACAGGTCGGGGGCGAACGACGTGCCGCGCAGAGAAGGGATGCCGAGAGAGTGCGGCAACACACTGCAAGTGAGGCGTGGGGAGAAAACATGATACCGATCGATTGCACATTTTGCATGCTGACCCCTCGGTCACTGACCCCGCTAGTATGGCTTGTGTCATTTCTTCGAGCTTCTCCGTCATGAACTGGTAGAGGGCCCTCAGGTCGGCCAGCGGGAGCTGCAGACAGGCCTTCTCGCACATACGGGCCAGCACCAGACACCTGATATCATCACATGCATGACGGCCAGCAGCAGGTGTGTGTGCTTGCGTACGTACGTACGTACCATGCAGAGGCCCGTGGTCCGTGCAGGAACCTCTCGAAGTACCGCAGCATGTCGCTGCCCTCTCCACTGCCCTTCACACTGATGGAGATGTGTACAAGAAACACACGTACTCACACGAGATGGATCGCTGTCGTACTCATCAGCGCCGACCGTTGCTCCTCGGGTGTGATGACCGGCGGGTACATTTGTGAGGCCTGACTGGCGAGTGTCGATGACGTGTCGCCGCCCTGTGCGGCCGAATCACCACTAAACATGCGACGGTACTCCACATGCTGGAACGCCTGTGTGACACACAGGCACACACACACAGGCGAGGTGTGTGCGGATATCATGGTGTGTCGGTGCGTACCTCCCACACGATGTCAGTGAGCAGCTCGACGGCCGAGTTGAGGCCCCGGATGCCGAAACATGAGCTCGTCCGGTGGTTGGCGTCGTCCGAAGGGGCCGACATGCCCAACTGATCCTGGTATGCGATGATGACTGACATATACATATACACCAAGTGAAGACGGCACGAAGTGGACGGTGGCTCATTCACTGCCCACCACATTCGTGTGCCTGTCGGTCCGGCCGTCCCTTCTGCTCGCTCTTCTGCAAGGTAGCACACGCAGAGATTCCAATGAAATGAGAGTGTGTCCATCGTACGCCTGCCTATCATCACCACTGAGAGAAGCGTTTCGATGTAGTACGGCAGGATGCTAAGCAGACTCTTCAACGTCCACCGCAGAGCACCTGCACCACACAGACAAAGACACAAATCAGCGTTTGTGCACCCACCAGCGTCTTTGTCGCTCCCCCACCAGTGGAGAGTGCTTTTGGCAGGCGCGTATCTGACGACCTAAACACCACCACCACCAGACGCAGCAACACTATCAAACGCTCCTGCGCACACACACCACAGATGAAAGACATACACACACACACACACACACGCAGTCAACACATTTTCGCTGTCCTCTGGACTGACCTTCGATTTGGAGCTGAGAGACCGAAATGTCTGCACACACGCGCCAAGTCACAAGCACAGCAACAGAGAATGCAGCAGCGGTGAATTGATTGGCTGTGTGCCGTTTGCTGGCGTACCCGCACAAGTATTTTGAGCGCGGCGAATATCTTGGGTTTGCGCAGCAGGGTGTCCTGGAACTGAAGCGGCGACAACAGAGCCAAACTGGCACGCACACACACACACAATGAACGAACGAGTCAGATCAATCAAACAAGTCACATCACAGTTGATTCACACAAAGTTGATTCACTGCATCACCTGGTGGCGCAGAGCACAGTGGCGTCGACGAGTGACTGATTGCTCGGCTTGAACTCCTTCTCCTCACTTAAAGCACAGCGTAACACAATGGACACATACGTTTGTGTGTGTGTGTACGTATTCTCTGCTCACTCACTCAGTCGCTCACTCACTCAAGCTGGATGATTTTGTCGAAGACAGTAGAGACAATCGTCGGCAGCTTCTGGCTGATGTCACCTGGAACGACACAGCCCACCACACAGCTGACCTGCCTGCCTGTCTGTCTGTCTGTCTGACTGTCTGTCTGACTGCTTCCCTTTGTCGCCCACCGTATGCGTTGGCGCAGAGTATCTGGAGCGTCTGCATGCACATGTGCTTCGGCGTCAGCGAAAAGCCAGACAACACCTTCAGGAAATCTGAATGAAGGTCATAAACACACCACACACAGAAAACGAGATAGAGATCCACCTCCTCCCGCTCCCCACGGTGGGTGGGTCGGTCGACTGTCTGCTGCACCTCTCAAGTGGTGTTCTGTGAGTTTGTAGGTGTACTGCTGTCTGGACACCATGGCAAGCAGCACACCCAGGTAGGCCTCTCCCCATGCGGGCCGCGGCGACACCTGGCCGTCGTCCCTCAGCACCTCACACAGGTGGTTGAAGTACTCGTCGGCGCACACCACCAGCTTGGGGCCGTGCCGCTCTATCACCGTCACAATGCCATGGAACAGCGTCGCATCATTCGGGTCGAACTTGGGAGGGGCTGCGCGCACACACACATATACAGGCACATGAGGTGATATGACAGGTGGTGCAGCAAAGCAAGGTGGTGGGTGGGGCAGACATGGCATTCCGTGGTTTACCTTTCTTGGACTTGCTGTGCTGGATGCGCTTGATCTGCCACACAGCACAACACATGCAACGACAGAGATCCAGGCAGGCACCCCACCCCACCCCACCACCACCCGTCCCCTGGGCGTGGCGTGCGTCGACAGCTCACCTCCTTCTGCATCGCCTCAACCAGACTGCGAGCGGAACACACACACACACACACACACGACACAGAGAGGTGACGGTCGAATCCATGGCGATGGGACCAAGTCTGGTCTGCGTAAGGTTGGTGGCTCACAATCTGCCGACAGCTGTCCACACGTCTGTCATGTCCTCGGCCCGCTCAATCATCAGGATGCGCTGCGGATCGTCCAGGAAGTCCTTCAGCTCTGCCACACAATACAACACACCCATCCGCAGTGACGTGCAGGATCTGCATGCTGTGCAGATCTACGCGGCTCACCCTTGAGGCCCTTCCTCCGCTGTGTGACTGAGTCCGCACCCAGTTCTTTCAGGATATCGCTCAGCTTGTCCAGCCGGTCCATTGCTGCTCACCGATAGCCTCTCATACGGACTGCACGGCCAGGTGGGATGAACTCGATGGAAGAGACCAAGAATAACGCATCGTAACTTCTGTGAAGGATGACGGATCTCTCATCCCGTCCTTCCTGCTATATTTTCGCCGTGTGTGCAATCCTACATTTGTTCTAAGCTCGCACGAAAGCTCGCAATTTGCGCGACCCGTTTTCCCGCCTGAGCGTGTTGGAGCCTAGTCGTAGATGCGCATGCGGTAGATATATGTCAGATCATCCGTTGGAGGCTGGGAAGAACGAGAAGCGAGAATCCCGCCACGCGAGGAAGCAAGGGACGCGGCATCATCATAGGACAGTGATCCCGCCCGAGGAATGGGCAGATCCTACCGAGACACTGCCTAGCAGATCCGCAGAGTAAGTGAGAATGAGACCACACACACTCAGAGAGGAGAACAGGCAGGTGGACCGATGAGAAGGGACCCAGGGAGGGTGGGCGAGTGCACACAGACCAGGCAGACGGGCCAGGGAAGTGTCGGTGTGTGCGCATGCCGCTCGATCACTGCCATGCACATCGCAACGCAACACCCACCAGAGAGCGACTGAGGGGGACAGGCAGGCACAGCACGCAGCACAGACTGTCATGAGTGGTGTCCATGGACGGGTGGAGGCCGCCTGTGTCTCAAAGCCCTTGATTTGTCCGCCCTTCTCACGTCTGTGTGTCGGCTTGCATGTGGTGTGTCAGGATGCGGCGCGTTGAGGGCTTTCAGCAAGACTCGTGGCAAGATAAGAACCATCAGCGAACATTCCTTGGTCAGTGAGTGACACACGTGACTGCTGTTCGTGCGTCAATCAACTGACGTGGTCTGGCTGTCTTTGCCCGCTCTGCGTGTGTGTGCGTTGTGCGTGTGTGTCAGGTGGTCGTGATGACCATCGCCAGCCTGCACCGTTCTCGGGGGGAGGGCGGGCACCTGCACGGCCGAGACCGCCCACACACACACACACCGGTACGCAACACAACCACACACTCAGAGTGGTCAGCCACTCAGGCAGGGGAGGGGAGGGGATACATCACATCCATCGTCTGTGTGGTGTGTGCAGATTCCCAGGGTTCCGACTCCAACGGCGGGCAGCCACTCTGGGGCAGTGAGAGGGACAGGTACAGACACACACATACACAGACACAGACACATACACAGACGCATTACCATCCCTCCCTCCCTCTCCCCCTCCCTGATCGATCACACACACGGCGTGGTCCGTCCGTCAGGGATGCGTCATCTTCCCATCCGTCTGGCGATCGTGCGTTTCACCCGCCGCCACCACACCGTCCCCTCCCCACACCCCGCCACCCACCAGCCGAGGGGGGCCACCACTATCGGCCACCACCACCACATCACCAGGGCATGCCGTTCAACGGAGGAGGGGATCACACCAGTGGAGAGGGCGGCCAGCCGTCACAGCAGCAGGAGCAGGCCACGGGTCCCCCCAGGAAGTGGGCAGACATGATGGAGGATGACGACACAGGTGGGTGGCATGGGGCGGGGCACTCGCTCATGCTCACTCTCATGCACCTACCCTATATTATGGTCGGCGGTCTGTCTGTTCTTCTGTGCATGCAATGCAATGCACTGCAGGTCACGAGCAGAGGGCCGTGCAGCAGCACGCCAGCAAGGCCGCCCCTCCACGCCCGCCTCCCCTCCCCTTCTCGACCCCGAGGGGTGGCTTTCCCCCACCGAGAGGCCGGGGCTCTGGGCCGCCCGGCATGGGACCGGGACGGCCGGACGGGCCGCAAGGTCATCTGCTGCCCACTCCTGGGCCCGAGGTGATTCCCCGCAGCATGCAGCAGGCCATGAAGCAGCAAGGGGGGTACCACCTTCCACACTACCCGGGAAGGCAGGGCGACAGTGGTGATAGGCCGGGCGACCGAGGGGCCATCCTTATCAATCCACCAGGCGGCGGCCGGTCAGGACATGGCTCCCAGTCCCCCCAGCAGGCGGGCTATCGGCCGCCCGTCTCCGGCAACCATCCTCCCACCAAGGGTTTCCCGCAGAGCCAGCCCTTCCAGCAGCAGCAGCACATGCAGGGGCTGCAGCACGGTGGCTCGCAGATGAGGATGGGCCAGCAGCACCACCAGCCGCCCCCCGAGTCGCCCTACCCCCGCCGGCCCGAGCAGCATCGCAGCAGCCCGGGAGAGGGGGCCGTCCGTCAGTCTCAGCAGCCGCCACCCCCATCGCAGGCCCCACCGCCGTTCGGCCAGTCGCCCCCTCCACCGCCCCAGGAGTGGTACACACACGCTCATGTGTCCCAGGAGTCGCCCGCGTCGCCCTATGAGGGGCCGCCCAGTCCGCCGCAGTTCTCTGGACCGATGTTTGAGAACGAGGAGGAGAACCTCATCAGGATGCAGCAGCAGTCTGGTTTCGCTCCGTCGCCCTCCGACCAGCAGCCCTTCGCACACCAGTCGATGGCGCCACCTCCGCCCCCGGCCGCTCACGAGCTGCCCACCTTCATCAAGCCACGAGAGTCCCAGGAGGCAGGCGACATGGCCGCGGCACAGGACACGACCTCTCACCAGCACCAGCAGCAGCAGCAGCAGCAGCGGAGCGAGGGCATGGTGCCGGTGGCGCCTTCTTCGTTTCACGGCGGCGGCGGCGGTGCGGCAGTGGGTAGCGACCAGTCCATCCCCACGCGCAGCTCCATCTCTGGCGAGCCGCCCCACTCGGCTGGCGGGCCGTGGCATCAGCAGCAGCCGCCCCACATTCCCGGAGCGGGCGGGCGTCTGCGCATGGGTTAGTCACACACGACACACGCCTCACCAGCCACCCATGCCATTCATCATTCCTTTGTGCTGTGGTTCTCTTTGCAGTCAACGGGGCCGAAGGGGTCGATCTTCGGAACCTGATCATGTCCGAGCACCACCAACAGGCGGCCATGCAGGTGCAGCAGCAGCAGCAGCAGCAGCCCCAACAACAGCAGCAGGGGGGAGGTCATGTTCAGGCTGGGGGAGGGGCGAGTGCGAGCGCCAGTGGTCTGAATGCCGACGCTGCTCCGTTTACTGGGGGATGGGGGACGGGGCTGGGCGGCGGTGGTGTTGACGAGATGTCTGGGCAGTTGTACTTCCAGCAGATTGGCATGGGCGAATGGATGAATGGATCTATGCAGGGTGAGTGAGCGATGGATGGATGGATGGATGGATCAAGCAGACAGACAGACAGACAGATGGGCAGATGGGAGGGAGGGAGGGAGGGAAGCTCACCACACCCACACCCACACCGTCATACCGTATGTGTGTTGTGTTGTGTTGTGCTATGTATGTGCGTGTTGTTTGTCCCTATCTGTCTATGTATCTATCAGGTATGCAGTACGCGTACAGTCAGAGTGGTGACGGCTCCCAGGCGACCATGTCGTCCCCCATCCCCCAGGCCTTCAACAACAACTACCCCCTCCAGGACCCATCGGCTGCAGGCGGCATGGCATTCGCCAACCAGATGCAGCTCCCCGACGGCAGCATGTCCATCGACTCATCCCAGGCCAGCCCCATGGCCGCTGCTGCCGCCATCCAGCAGGCCGGGGCCTTCGGTCACGCCGGCTTCCCCGCATGGCTTCACCACGTGGCGATGCAAGGCATCGCCAGCCAGGGCATGGCAGTCCAGCAGCAGCAACAGCCGCAGGGAGGCGACATGGTGGCCATGCAGCAGCAGCAACAGCCTCAGCCCCAGCCCCACCAGCAGCAGCAGCAGGCGGACGTGTGGCAGCCGAGTCTGTCGGTCATGCCGCGGCAGCAACAACAGCAGCTTCCCCAGCCGCAAGGACAGGCTCAGATCCCAGGGCAGCAGCTCGCTGGTCAGGCAGCGATGCACCCCCAGCAGCAGCACTTCGGCGCCGACGCCACGCCCATCACCCAGCGGTCCCACAGTGGGGACTTTGGCGGAGTCAACACGAAGAAACGCGTCGCAAACGCGCCTCTGCTGCGGGGCCCGTCACCGGTCCAGAATCAGTCGCCGTCGGATCTGCAGCTAGAGGCCCACCCCTCTGCCGCTGGCCCCCCTGCTGACCACCCCATGGCGGCCTTCCATCCGTCTGTGCAGCAACAGCAGCAGCGTCCGCAACAGGAGATTGCTGTGGGACCTGCTGTCGATGGCTTCGTGCTGAGCGGTGGTGTTCAGGCCAGACCGCCCGGGCCTGAGGTGCCGCAACAGCTTCAGATACAGCCGGAGGAGAGTCGTGAGGCCGCCCAGCAGCAGCAGCAGCAGCAGCAGGCACAGCAGGTACAGCAGCAGCAGCGGCAGAAGGCGCCGACGGACGAGGCGAGAGGTCACGGTACCTTTCCCCCTCCCGTCATCCTGCCGACGCCCGGGGAGCAGCCGCCAATGGCGCCTCACGCCCATGAGGTCCCGCCTTTCCACGCACCAGCCACTGAGGAGATGCCCCGACTGCGTGAGATCGGTGTTGGGACCATGGACCCGCTCCCTGCTGATGCGGGTCAGGCCGCGGCGGCCCGATCACTGTCGGGTTCCGACAACCGTCAGTCATCGTCACCGGGGGCGCAGCACCAGCAGGTGGGTCGGGAGAGGGTCGAGAGGGAGCGGGAGGACCGTGGGGGCCATCATCCTCCACGCCTGCACCACCCGCCGCATCCCCGCGGTGGTGGCCGAGGGCCCCCGAGGCACCAGGGAGGAGGCGGCCAGTACGACCGCTTTGATCACGGGCCGCCCTACCGTCCGCACGACGGCGGCCATCCCACTCGCCCGCCCAAGATCCTCGCCCTTCACTCACATCCCCGGCCACCACGAGACATGATGCAGCAGCCCCACCACCAGAGGCCACCCGTCGGTCGTCTGGCGGGGAGCCCTCCCCAGTATCGGCCGTCGCTGCATCCCTCACACCCGGCACACAGGGAGGGCGGCAAGGGTCGCCTTGCGGAGAGGGAAGACGCTGCTGCCTTGGCTCGCCAGCTGCAGCCACACCACCCACAGCACCAGCACCAGGCCGCATCGCCCGGCCCCGAGCGCCATGTGCCGCCGGCGCGAGGCCCTGGCGATCGTGACATGAGGGAGCAGGATCGCTACGCCCGACGCGGGTCGCATCCGATGGAGGGCCTGCCGCCAATGGACGAGCGGTACGAAGACGAGTCGTTCGGCTCCGCTCGTGGACCTCCTCATCGCGTGGGTCCGCGAGACGACGGCCCCCCGGCATCCCACATGTCGCCGACCCTCCCCTTTGCAGGCCAGCCTCGGCCGTCGTGGCACCCGTCGCTTCGCAGCGGTGGGCAGGGACGACGCGACGAGCGGGAGGAGCTGGAGGGAGGGAGGGACAGACGTCGGTCTGCCCTGGTGCATCCCGACCACCCCATCACTGTCTCGGCTCACCGGCTCGCCAACGACAGGAGACGCACCGACGCCATCATCGACGAAGGCGCACAAGGGCCCAGGCGGGACGAGGCGCCGCCCCAGTGGCCGGGGCCTGGTGGGTACGGCGGGGCGACAGATCGCCCGCCGAGGTTCGGCGGCTATCGGGGTGAGGATCGGTTCGGGCCTCCGGGGCGTGGTGGTGGTGGGAGGGGCGGTGGACGGGGCTATGGTCGCGGCGAGAGGGATGGGGAAGGAGGCATGTGGCACGAACACGGAGAGGGGTTCGTCGGTGCAGCGGGGAGGGGATTCCATGACCACCCGAGGGGAGCCGGGGGGAGAGGAGGATATAGAGAGCAGAGAGAGCACCATCCACAGCGACACTGGGAAGCAAGTAAGACATACATACACTGACAGACACACCAGACAGGAACAGATAGAGAACACGCAAGGGCTTGCTCTCATCCTTGCCTGTCTGTCTGTGTGTCTGTCTGCTTGCCATCTCTGCAGAGGCGCCTCAGCCCCCCCATGCCGCTGACCGTGGCGCCCCTCCTGCCCGCGACGCTCACCCCCGCCCTTCACAAGCCACCGAGACGCCGCAGCGCCAGCCCACCACACAGGCACAGGCACAGGCATCACACGCCTCCCCCACCTCACATCAGCAGATGGCCGCCACCACCCCCCAGTCGACACCCAGTCCTGGCTCGAAGCTCTTCAACAACTCCATCAAGGACCTCAGGAACCAAACCCGGCAGGGGGCGGCCGGAGCCACCGCTGCCAGTGGGAGGGCTGGCGCTGCTGGGCGGGCCAGGGAGGGGGGAGAGGAGATGCATCTCGGTCCCGCAGACGTCATGAGGGATGAGACCGAGGTGGAGGCAGGGCCGTCAAGACCGGCCAAGCGACAGGCTGGCGGGGAGGCCACCGCTCGCCCCAAGGCACCGGGACAACTGGCAGCTCCAGCGTCTGCCAGACAGGAAGCCGCTCAAGCAGGCGACCGCGCTGGTGCCGTCCCCCCTGCACCAGTACATCGACCTGTCCCGCCGGTGCCCGTGTCGCCTCCCCCTCCCCCATCTGCTGTGCCGTCAACTGATGCGGCCCAGGGTGGTGGTCGCGGCCGCATGGTCGAGAGGAGGGGTCGGGGTGGCCGACGAGGGAGGGAGACCGAAGAGGACTGGAGCGCCTTCTCTGCAGCCCTGACCCACGACAGCTCGTCCATCAGCCAAGCCCAGCACGCACAAGCGGCCGCGGCGTCCAGCAACGGGCCCTCAGCTGCCCCTCCTGCCGCTCCTGCGGCCGACCAGGCATCGTCGTCGGCAGCAGGACCAGCAGCAGCGGCAGCAGCAGCAGCAGGTGGCAAAGCGGGTCCCCCATCCAAGAGGAAGAAGCCGCCGAAGAAGTCCAAGAGAGACAGAAGGAGGGGCGGGCGGGACAACGGCCATGACGAACAGCATGGTGGCGACAACGGCGAGGAGGAGGAGGGGGGCGAGGAGGAGCAGCACCAGGATCAACAAGAGTCCCAACCGACACGCCCCTTGCCCTTCTCCAAGCAAGCACCCCCTCAGGGCCAGATCCACCCCCCTGCTGCTGCTGCAGCGGCACCAGTCTCACCACCTGCCGCCGCTGCGGCGGGTCCCACTCCCCCTCGCACCATGGGGCCTCTCATCAAGGTCGACCCGCAAGCGCTTTTCGACGCGGTCAAGGAACACGAGAAGGCCAGCATGAAACAATTACCAGCCGAAGAACCCCAAGCCGCTGCTGCTGCTGCGGCGGCGGCGGCGGCGGCTGTCGCAGCGTCGAGCACTCCATCGGATGTGCCGTCCAAGCGTGAAGGGCAGAAGCGTAGCGAGAGGCGCAAGAGGGACAAGGGGGCCAGGCAGGAGGGACGCAAGAAGGATGAGGGCGGCGCCGATCAGCAGCAGGGGGAGCCACACGAGGCCGACAAACAGCAGGAGGGCGGCGACAAGAAGGATGAAGACACCAAGCCAAAGACTGACCGCCCCAGTGCACCTGCACCGGCTGCTGCAGCTGTCCCTGTTGGTGCGTCCCCGTCATCCCGGCCTCCCCAGGAGCCATCGCATGCGAGCGGCAGGGAAGCCCCTCACCATGTGCCGCATGGCGCGACACAGTGGAAGAAGAAGGAGCCACCCCAGCCAAAGGCCGAGCCGGACAAGAGCGACCAAAAGCGACAGTCGGTGCCGTCGCAGCCCGCTCCCCGTCCGCCTCAGCAGCACCAGCATGCGCCCCCCGAGCGGCCCGCTCATCCCTCTGCATCACACAAGGCACCCCCACACCACGCCTCGCCGCAGAAGTGGGCGCCTAAGAAACAGGCTGCTCCGACCACTGAGGGGGCCAAGGACCAGGCTGCAGCAGCACAGCAACCCAAGGCCGACGAGGCGCCCGAACCACAGCCACAAGAGTCTCGCCCGTCGGCGTCTGCTGCTCCCGCCCCTTCAGCTGTCGACCGTTCTCGTGATGAGGCGCCCCAGCCCCCACTGGACAACAGACAACTCGGCGACAACCTCCTGCAGTTGTTGCGAGGCGCCTCCGCGGCTACCAACGACGCACAACAGAAGGAAGAGACCCCCAACGGCCAGCCGGCACCAGCTGAAGGTGGAGCAGAAGCAGACAATGAGGGTGGTGCAGAGGCAGAGGTGGGGGAGACCGACACGACGGGCGCCGACACGACGCATCAGGGAGGGGGCCGGGGCGGCGGTGGTCGCGGTGGCCGTTTCCCCCGCGGTCGAGGCAATGATCGCTTCCGGGGTCCGTCTGGCCATCACCACCACTACGTCGAGAGAGGTCGGGGCTTCAGGCCCCGCGGCCGCGGCGGGTACCGTGGCCGGCCACCTCAGCTCGTGTATCAGAAAGCGGGAACATCGGCACGGGCGTCTGGCGGAGACGGGGGGCAGACACACGAACCGGGCAATGGCAGTGGCAGTGCTGGGGGCGGGGGCGGGGGGGAGGGGGGAGGGGAGGCGCATGAGTGAGACAGATAGACAGACACGTGGTGCTGCAAGCGTACATGTCTGGGGTGTATGGGTTGGGTCGTTTGTTGGCTGCCTCGTCTGTCTGTCTGTCTGTCTGATTCCATCCATCCATCTATGTGTTGCGGGGAGGACGTATTTGTTGTTGTGTGACATTGCTTGACGGATGGATGCATCTCACTATCTGGCGGCAGGGTGGGGTGAGAGCTTGGCCTGTCTGGGCGGGAGGGCGTGGCATCTGTGTGTGTGTCTGTTTGTTTGTTTGTTTGTCTGGTGGTTGGTTCATCCTGTTCTGTCGGCTATGATCCATTTTTTCCCTCCCTGTGGGCTGGTGCTGGTGTGTGTATGTATATCGATGGATGGATGGATGGATGGATGGACCGGACCTATCTGCCTATTTTTTCCTTTTCCCTGACTTGTCTACCTACCTACCTGGCTGCGGTGGGCTGCGGCGGGGTGGATTGGATGGATGCAGGGGTGGGGAACAAATAGTGGGCACTGCAGGCAGTGAGTGAGTGAATGGTGACAGACAGCCATGCCATGCCACGATACGATACGAACCCATCCATCCATCTCTCTGTCAGTCTATGTCAGTCAGTCTGTGTGAATACGTATTCTCGTGCTGGGTCGCAGGCAGGCAGGCAGGGAGAGGGAGGGCGAGGGAGGGAGGGAGGGAGACAGAGATAGGGAGGCGGGGACGTACGCGTACATGCCAATGAATGAATGAATGCACATCACATCCATCGTGCTGTTTTCGCCTTTGGTTGTCTGTCCAGTCTGTCTCTCTCTGTGTGTCTGCTGTGTGTCTGCCCTGACCTTGCCTTACCTACAGTACCTCAGCTCATTGGATGGATGGATGGATGGACGGACGGATGGATGGATGGATGGCCTATTTAAGCAAGCATGATGACACCGTTTTGGCTCCCTCCTTCGACGCATGTCACGCGCACACAAGACCTTCTTCTCCTGAATGCGTTGCATGCACGTGCTGTACGTATGCCTTTTTGCCCCCCTTGCCTCTCTCTCTCTTCTCTCCATCTTTGTGTCTTGAATGAATGAGCATGTGTGTGTGTGTGCGTGTGTGTGTGTTTTGGTCGATGTGTGTGCTTACGGTACCGACAGATGAGATGCCCGAGTGAGTACTCGGATGAGTCGTTTGTGTGAATGCATGAATGAATGGGTGTGGTGTGGTGCAGCTGCAGGTGTGTGTGGTCAACTTGGCGGTCGGTGCTGTGTGTCCTCGTGCTCTTGTCGTGTCGTGTCGTGTGATGTGATGTGTGTGTGATACGTGTGTTTCCGCCATGTAAACTACTACTGCCGGCCTGCCTCAGTTTAACCATTGTTATAGATAGTGTCAAACGTCACCTGCCTCAGGGCAATCAAGCCGACGTGCCAGCAGCAGCAGCACCAAATGTCTGTCTGTGATCTTGCATCCATCAATTCAGGCATCCCAACCAACCAACAGCACCCGTTAACACCAAAAACACGCAATAGGCGTACGTACAGGTATGTACACACACACAGATGCATTGTGTTCACTCCCGCGCCCCCTCTCCCTCTCCCTCTCCCTCTCCCTCCTCAGCATCGGGGTGGTGCCGCTCGGCTCCCTCCTCGGCTGCTGCCTCATCAACATGAGAAGGAGGAGACACACCAGCCACATCGACAACTGGCTCACCTGCACCCTCCGGCCCTTCCTCGTGGGATTCGGGTGCTCCGCCCTCCTCCTTGCTGGCAGGCACCTCACCCACCTCCTGCAGCTGAGGATCCTGCATCCACTCATTCACTCATGTCTGTCTCCATCCATCCATATATGTTACTTACATACCTGTGTTGTCTCCTTATCGGCCAGTGTCTCCTCTTCTGCTGCTATCTCCTCTGCGGGTGGTGCCACCATCTCTTCCTCGGGCAGCTGGGGCTCACCGAAGGCAGCAGGCTGATCAATGACATCCGCCGCATCGGGGCCGCCCTGCTCTTCCTCCTCGGCTGGTGGTGGTGCCATCACAGGCTCTGAGGGCGGCTGTGGGGTGGGCTGGTCGGCGGCAGTGTGTGAGGGGGAGGGGGCCGCCTGTGAGGGTGGGTGGTGGATGGACGGCAGCCGCTCTGACGCTGTGGGCGGGGCTCGGGGGGTCGTCAGCTCCAGCTCGTTGACGCGCCGACGGAGAGTGTCGATCTCCTCTCGCTGGACCTACAGATGGGCAGGGACATGCACACATGGCTGTTTGTGTCTCTGTGTCTCTCTCTCTCTGTGTGTGTGTGTGTGTGTGTGTCAGTCACTTCAAGCATGCGTGTGGCCTCTGCGTCAGGCTCGTGTGAGACGCCGAGGACGCCCGCGGGTGCGGTGGCGCCCTTTTGTTGTGCTGCGGCGCCAGTTCTCTGTCGTGTTTTGCCGTGGAATGCCTGCTGTGTGGCGTTGAGCCTGGCCTGCTGCCGCTCGTGCTTGAGGTAGTTGATCTCGCGACGCAGGTCGTTGATCTCACGGATCAGTGACACATTCTCCTGTGCGTGCGCAGACACAGAGACACAGAGACAAGAGACAGAGGGGGGTTGGCTTAGAAGTGTGTGTGTTGGATTGGATGGAGAGGCTGTGTGTGTTGGATATCTAAGATGCATACACACCTGCATGACTTTCATGTTGTCCTGTCTGTGGACCTCTGAGTCCTTGGCCAGCTTGCGCTTCAAACTCTCAACCGACTTCTCCAGATAATCCCTACACACACACTCATTTCACCAGGTAGGTGTGCGCGTCGACAGAGGGAGGGTTTCTACCTCTGTCTGTTGTATTCCTTCTGGATGTCGGCGTCGAGCTCCACCTTCTTGACCTCCTGAGTCACGTACTTGCTGGTCGGTAGAGAAAGACACACACAGAGAGACGCTCATTGATGTGATGAAGGTGCGAGTGAGATGCGGCCTGGCCTGTGTCTGGCTGGCCAGGCCGTGTGGACTGGATGTAGATACCGGTATAGCGATGCAATGGCGTCCTTGAGCTGTTTCGGCTCCTGTATGTGCTGTGCGCAGTCGTAGAGGTCGTTGCGGAACTGCTTGCAGAAGTGCTGGTAGTCCGTCAACTTCTTCCTGCATACATACCAACAAGAGGCAGAGAGTGGCTGGCTGATGGGATGGGATGTCCCCCAGCTGGCCGCGGAGCCACGCACCTCTGGGAGGTAATCTCCTCCTGCAGTGCTCTCTGTTTCATCTGCAGCTGGCTGATGTCCATCGCCAGCTGCTTGTTCTTGCGGTGGTAATCTTCCAGCTCCTATACACACACACACACACACGTCGATGTGGCTCTCTCTGGTCGTTGGCTTCATGTCATGTGTGTGCGGGCGGGTGAGGTGACCGCGTCCATGGCCTGTATGTGTCTCTTCATTTCGGCGATGTCCTCGTTCTTGGGGTCGATCTGCGCCTTGAGCTCCTTGATCTTGTAGTCCAACACGAACTTGAACTTCTCCAGCTCCTGATTCTGCTTCTTCAAGTCGTAGATGCGCTGCTCCTTGTCACCTGCAGACATGCCATGCCCACACACACAGACAGAGAGAGAAAGAGGTCTATGTGTGTCTTGGGGGGGAGTGGGAGTCGACTGCCTAACCGATAGTTTTGTCCCTTTCTTTGATCTCCTTGGCCATTCCGTCTCGGTCCTTCATGAGCTTCTCGATGTCACTCCGCAGCTTCTGGTTGATCTCCTCCTGCACACAGACACACACAATAAATACATGAAGGCAGGCGGACCAGTGCTGTGCCGTGGTGGGCTGACCTTTTGTTTGAGCTCTTCTTTGTTCTTCTCCATTTGTCGCTTCAGATCCTCGTGGTGCTTACGGTGGATGCCCGCCTGACCTGCACGCACACACACCCATCCATCCATCCATCCATCGATGTCAGCCTCTCATGGAGGCTGGCTGCGTGGCTGACCTCTGAGTCGCACTTTTTCGTCTCGTTCGTTTGCCAGTTTTTCCTCATACTGCTCCTTGAGCTCCTCTATCTCTCTGTCGGCATCCTGCTCCAGCTGACGCAATGTCTCCTGATGAGTCCTAATAATACAGGAAACGAGCAGAGGTGTGCAGACCTGGTGTCTCGTCGTCGTGTGTTGGTGTCAGTCAGCTACTGACTTGAAGGCGAGTTCCTTCTGCTCAATGAGGTTCCTCATTTCGTTGTTGTACTCTCGCTTCTTCTCCTCGAAATCCTCCGTCATGCGCGTAATGAGACCCTCGTGCTCTTGCTGTGACATGCACACACACACAGCGATATATATTCTACGTCTCTCCATCTCAGTCAGATGAGTCAGCTGTGTGCGCTCACCCACCCGTATTTGTCCCTGTTTTTCCTCCCAGGCCTTTGCCTCCCTCTCCCGCTCTGTGGCCAGCTTCTGGTAGCGCGCCACCTCGATCATCATCTTGGTCTGGAAGCTGGCCTCCAGCTCCTGGGTCGACTTGGCGTTGGCCTCCTCGATGCTCTTGAGGTTCTCCTCATACTCAGTCTCCATGTCGTTCTTCTCCTCGCGCAGCAACTCGTATCGAGTCCTGCAGGCAATCACACCCATCCCATGACACTGTGTGCGTGTGTCTGTCTGGCAGGCGGCCCGGCCCGTCACGACTACTCTACCGTTCCTGCTCGAGTTCGTGTTCGTATTTGTCTTCGAGTTCAGCCATTTTCTCCTTGTGGAAGGAGTCCCTGTTTCTGAGTTGGAAGTCCATCTGGTTGGTCAGCTCCTCCACCTGCCGCTCCAGCTCCACCAAAGCCGCCTCCTTCTCGTCCAAGAAGAAGCGTGTCACGAGGATCTCGTCCGCATACGGCAAAGCGCTCTCCTTGTCACGCTTGGACACCACTCGGTCCTTCTCGCGGATGTCGAACACGTACAACGTCCCATCCTGACAACAGACAGACAGACAGACAGACAGAGAGGGGTGGTCATGCGTGTGGTTGTGGAGGGGCGTGGCATGGCATACCTCCGAGCAAGAGAGCAGGTACATGTCGTCGAAGGTGATGCGCAGCCTGGCACAGGGGCCCGCGTGGCACTGGTACTCGACGTACTCACCATGCAATGGGAAACGATACGCACTGCATGAGCACCAGAGACATGTTAGTAAGCGAGCAGCCAGACACGTTGCAGGGAGGGTGTGATTGGTGGCTGCAGCGTCACGCAATGACCGACCGGATGGGCCCCGGGTGTTCGTTCTCGGCCACGGCAGCGAAGAGTGTCTTGGCCGAGTTGGACAGCACTATCTGACCCAGCTGGTTGCCAGCCTCCAAGTAATGACCTACACACAGACACAGACATACACTCTCCCTCTTGCCGCTCTTTTGGGTGTTTGCGCGTCGTGGACGGACGGGCCGACCTAGTTGTGAGTTGTATATTTCCTTGAGCATCTTGTCTGACCCGACCACATACATCGTGTTGGCGCTCGTCGTCGTCCCAGGCGTTCCGACGGCAGACGGATCCGTGTACACTATCACACACGAAAAGCTCGTGCCCTGATTGATGGGATTGGATTGACCACATTCAGGCAGCAAAAGATCAAGAGGGAGGCAGAGATGCCGAGACATCTGATCAGTTTAGTGTCTCAGTCACTGACTGACCTTTTGGACCCAGTCGGAGACCCGCCTCCCCTCCTGGGCGATGTTGTACTCGTACACGGCACCGTCCATGCCGGCGGAGACAATTGACATGTCGTCGGCGGTCCAGCAGATGGAGCGGACCTTGGAGTTGTGCCCTCGCAGGTTGGCCACGATGTCGCACGTGTACGTCTTGTACACCTGGATCGTGTTGGAGTTGGCTGCAGCGAAATACTGACCCCCGTTGGAAAACCTACACACACAAAGCAAAGCAAAGCCAGACGATGCATTGACGGATGCCTTCCTTTGCGGAGTGAGCTCGACGACTCCCTACCTGCATTCTCTGCAGGCCTTGATGGGGATCTCTTTGAATGGCCTGAGGTCCTCCATGAGCAGGTTCATGAGCCTGAGTTTGTCGCTGAATCCCACGAGCAGGTGGAAGCCCGAGGGGTGGAAGGCCACGCTGTAGGCCTCCTCGTTGAACGACTTGCACAGCTCGCAGGTCTTCTCAAGGTAATTCCACACGCGGACAGTCTTGTCGGCACCGCACGTGGCCATCAGGGGCTTGCGGATGCACGTGTCCATACCCAATACCGCACCCTACATCATACATAACATACACACGATACAGACAGATACACGCAATGCATTGCAATGCGGGAGTAGCTGACTCACTGGCTCACTCACAGTGTGGAATGATGTGAGAAGGAAGTCGAGGTTGGGTGCCTCCTCAGATTTGAGCAGGTCGGACGCAGCCAGGGAGAACTGATACAGCTGGCTGTTCGACAGGCCAACCTGCACACACAGCACAGTGCAAACACACCAATCGAACGGTTGGTTGCTCGTGTGGGCGGCTTGTGTCTCTTGTCGAGTAGATCATACGGCGAGGATTTCCTCTGAGGGCGAGACGGCGAATCCCATCACCCGCGACCCAGCAGCATTTTCCACCTTCACATCGACCGTCTTCCGGAACACCTGCACACGCACACGGCATACACACAACACAACACAAGATGGAGAGGAACCACGTGTCCGTCTGTCTGTCTGTCTGTGTGTCTTGGTGAAGTGTGTGTAGGTACATTAGTTAGTTAATTACTTCTTTGGGGTCGTCGCTTTTCTCGAATATTTTGATGGCGCCTTCCTCTCCGCCGGTGATGAATCCCTTGGAGTAGGAGGCCATGCACAGCGCCGACCTGATCTCCGAGGGAGAGCAAGGGAGCACCATCTTGAACTCACCACCTGCACAGCACAATTCCACATCCACACAACCATCCACTGCACCGACTGGGGTGTAATGTGGTGTGTGGATGGCAGGGCAGGGCAGACGGACCGTTGTCGAATAGGAGGAGCTCTCCATTCTCCGTGCCCACCACCAGACGGTCGTCGCTCAGCCACGTGTGACACGTGTACGGCTGACAGACAGTCAGACAGACAGACAGACAGACAGACAAACAAACAGACAGACAGACAGACACACGTACACACAGACCGACCGAGACACGACGTTAGTCAGTGACCAAATCCACTCACTCACTCACTCACTCAGATGTGCAGCCCGCCTTAGTTACCTGTGGCTCTTTCTTGCTGAGTGGGTGCGGCAGCGGCTTGAGGGTCCCGTCTTGCAGCCGGAACGACCGGAAGACGCCCTCGCCAATCACCACTGCCAAGGTAGAGTCAGTGGGGTTCACAGAGCACTCATACAGAGGCGCCCCATGGGCATTGGACGCCTGCAGGCACAGATAGATACACAACAAACAACCACCATTTGTGGTTTCGTAGGTGTGCATCAATCAGTGTGTGCTTGTATTGGCTGGCTGACTTTGACGCTGGCGATGACTTTGGCCTTGTCCCACGACCAGTAGACGAGCGACCAGTCTGGCGGGCCGCCCAGTGAGAGCAGAAACTTATTCTCGCTCGAGAAACAGAGACTCACGTACTCGTGGCTCGCACACTCGGCATACGACAGAGAACGCCTACAGACATTGGCCGCACCCACGCACAACAACCATACCAACATTGATCGCCTGTTGACGGGGCCAAGAAGCGGTGGTCAGTCAGTCACCGTTTCTTGGCGGTGACAAGGTCGTAGATGCTGATGATGGCCGTCTCCGTCCGCTCGGCCACTGCCACGTACCTGCAGCATACAAATGAGTGCGAAAGTCATTCTGTGCAGCGCAGCGCAGCAGTGGGGTCTGTGTTTGCTGCATGAGTGCCTACCTCTTGCTTGGGCTGATGGTGATTGCAGTGATGCCCAGCGTCTCATCAGCGCCAGAAAAGAACTGCACCCACCCAGCCACAACAAACGCCACGCCACTCATCCATCGTCTTTCCATCCATCTGCACCACACACCCTCTCTCTCTGCCCACCTACCTTTTGTGTGCGGTGGTCGATGGAGTAGAGGACGGTGTTGTGGCCGGCGGGGTAGATGAGCTGCGTCTCCTCGGCGAAGTGCAGGAGGTTCTTGACGTCGCTCTTGAGCCCAAACACATGGCGGGGCGCCAGCGACATCGGAGGGGCGTTGGCCTGGCTGACGCCGCCGTACGTCGGCAGCAGAGCTGACACGCCCTCATCGCCACCCGCCTCGTCACGCAACGCAGAGTCGTCCATCCTTCTCTCAGTGCCGGTCTCCAACAGAATGGCCCCCAAAGCCATGCATGCCCCCCACTCAGCGAGCTTTTCATTGAGATCTGCGTCTTCTCTTTTGTGAGGTGCACAGCATGGTTGACCTGGAGAACGTTCCGACGCTCGACTTGCTGGGCGAGATCAAACGGCGGTACCTCTGCCTGAGCAAGCCCGAGAAGCGTGTGGTCTTCCTGGGTGCCCCTGGGAGCGGCAAGGGCACGCAGAGCACCATCCTGAGGCGAGACTACTGCCTCTGCCACCTCTCCACCGGTGACATGCTCAGGGACGCCGTCGCTGCCGGCACAGATCTGGGCAAAAAGGTCACTCAGGCAGATGGATAGATCTGGGCGTGGCGTAGATCTGGGCACTTGATGTGATGTGGTGTTGTGTGGAACAGGCCAAGGAGGCGATGGATGCGGGCAAGTTGGTGAGCGACGACATTGTGGTGGGGCTGATCGAGGAGAAGCTCAAGGCGCCCGAGTGCAAGAGGGGGTTCATCCTCGATGGCTTCCCAAGAAACACCGCACAAGCTGACAAGGTCAGTCACCACAAACACGGCTGGCGCCCCTGCTAGTCCATCTTTGTCTTTCCTTCGGTGCCTGTGTGCATTTAGCTGAGGACAACGCTTGACAAGAACAAGATGCTGCTGGACGCTGTGGTGAACTTCGAGGTGCCCGACGAGCTGCTCGTGAAGCGCGTCTGCGGCCGCCGCGTCCACCCCGCCAGCGGCCGCACCTACCACGTCGACTTCGCACCGCCCAAGAGACCAGGCGTCGATGACGTGAGCAAGCCAAGCCATGCACTCATTCACTGGATGGATGGGATGGACGGTTGATTGATTGCTGGATGGATGGCGGATTGTTTAGGTGACCGGTGAGCCACTCATCCAGCGCAAGGACGACAATGAAGAGGTCAGGGAGGGAGGGAGGGAGGAAGGGATAGTGCATTGCATTATCTGGCTTATCGCTTGCTGGGTCGGTCGGTGTGTCTGTCGATGGTGTGCAGACGTTGAGGAAGCGGCTGGAGACCTTCCACTCCCAGACGGTGCCACTCGTCAGCTACTACCAAAAGTACCACAGACAGGGAGAGTGGGATGGACGAACACACAGCTCTGGCACGGCAGCCTACTTCTGTTTTGTTTGTCGGCTGCAGGCAGGGCATCCTGCACTCCATCAACGCTGCAGAAAATCCCAACGTCGTCACACAGGTGAGAGCCTAGCCCGCCCAGCTCGGCAGAGAGAGAAAGGGATGCCCTCTCTGCTCATGGATGGATGGATTGATGGTGTTTGTGCCATGTGTGTGTGGTTGCAGGAGATGTACAAGGTGGTGGATCCCTCCGCACAGGCTCCCCCCTCGTCATGAGCCACCCAGCCATGCAGCCAGCCAGCCGGCCGCGCGTGTGTGCATCAAGATGAGACGTCTGGAGCGGCGGACGACCAGCCACATACATCGCTCTCCACCGCAGGCAGTTTTCTCATTGGCCATCCATTCGTGTGTGCGTGTATGCTATGCCTCTCCCCATGGTGCGTGTCGTGTTAGTCGCTCTCTGTGGTCTTGTCTGTCTTGTGTGCGTGTGGTGTCGTGTCGTGTGTGTGGTAGGGTGGCTGACTGCCTTTTCTACGGCAGATCTATCGATCACCGAATGGGTGGGTTTTGCTTCGTGTGAATGAATGAATGCACCATGCCTGCCTGCCTGCCTGCCTGTCGGTTTTGTTCGACTCCTCTTGATTCGTTTGTGTCGGTGGAATGCCTTCAGCGCGGTCATGTTCTGTTGTTCCTGGTGGGGTGATCCCTCTGCTTGGAACAGCAGTACATGGGGGGGGCCGAATGCATTCCACCGATACAGACCGACAGACAGATGAGGAAAGGGAACGATTGGACACACGACACGCGAGACGTGCCACGCGCTGCTACGTCGACTCTTTGGTCTCGGTATGTTGAGCTGGCGATGGGTTTGTGTGATCGTGGTCGTGCAGAAGGGCATGCGGGCGAATGACACCGTCATTCGTATCAGTCGTCTCCGTGCCGAGCTGCAGGGAGGGCAACGACCACACAGAACTATCCGTGCCTTTTGGATGATCGTGTGCGGTTTGCCGACATGTGTGTGTGTGTGTGCTTGCGTGTTGGGGGGTAGGGAGGCTGTGTAAGGCCAGCTGCGTGACGTTGCCAGCTTTCGTGCACTGCGTGAGGATTCTCACACATGGTTTACACATATATGGATTAACCGAACGAATCGGAGAGTCCTTTCACACAGCAATGAAAACACGAACGAAACAACAAAGGTCCCTCTCCCAGCTCTCATGCGTACCTACCGTACACATGAGCACAGAAAACACCCCACCCATCCATCCATCATCCATCCATTCACACCAACGGAGAGAGAGACCCTACTCGTCTCCCTTCTTGCTGACCCGGCCGTAGTCGTCCATCCCTTCCACCAGCCCCTTGATCTCCTCAGGTATCTCCGGGCCGCCCTGCGGTGGCGCCACGCGGTTCCTCATCCTCGCGGGAGACGGGGCCATACCAATCCCCCGATATGACGACCACGGCTGTGGCGGTGTTGTTGGTGCTGGCGCATCCAGGGGGCGGAAATCGCTCGACTCGGCGTCGGCACGTCCGGCCGCTCGGATGTAGCGGACAGGCGAGGCGGCCTCGTCCTCGCCCCCAGCGACGCCATAGAGGTCCATCTCTGCCTCGGGGGCATCCCGCACCAGCCGTGATGACCGCATCTCTTGCTCATCTCCATCACCATCACCATCACCGGACTCGGGGAGCGGCTGTCTCTCTGCATCAATGTCATGACCATGACCACGGTCGTCAGAGAGCGTTGGGGGTCCGATTGAGAGGTGTATGGGGAGGGTAGGGTCTCTGTAGTCGTTTGGGTTGGTGAACTCGATGTAGCGCTGCTCGAAGACCTCTGTGACGGGGGCGTTGGCCTTGTTGTTGCGGGGGGGTGAGTGTATCCATGGCGGGGGGGTGCCGGGGATGTCCTCCATGTAGGTGGGGAAGTCCTCGGCTGTGAAGTGCTCGTGAGGCCTCAGCCACAGATTCTCGAGACTGAGGATCCATCCATCCATCAGTAGATGGGTTACAAAGAGAGAGAGAGAGAGAGAGAGGGATGGGATGGGATGGGACACACACATTTATGCATCTCATTTAGTCTGTCGATCTGATCTGTGTCAGTTGCTGAGGGTCCCTTTGTTTCCTTCCTTACTTGTAGCTCTGTCTCCATTCCTTGGAGAGGATGTGCACCTTGAGTGGCCCGCAGTGGGCGACGTTCCACTCGTCGGTGTCGGACCCCCACGAGTAGCTCACAGCCGAGATGTAAGGCACATCCAAGTCCTTGATCGTCTTGCTCACCAAACGCGCCGCACGACTGATATATTGATCCATCCGCCAGTGTGTGTAAGTATTATGTGTGCATCACATCATACGCCCCCTTGTCTGTCTGTGTGTCTACCTGCCTGACTGACAGACTTACCGACAGTGTCTGGGTGTCTGTCCGGTGGCCACGATGGCGTAGAGGCCGAGATCACGCCGCCCGCACTCCTCCAAATCGATGACGACGATGTCCTGCACCTGCTCCTGAGGCATCAATCAACGGATGGACGGATGGATGCATCAAAGGACACACACACACTGACGATCTTTGACAGTGTGTGTATGTGTGTGGGTGAGAGATTTGTGTGTGGTGTGTGCGTGTACCTGTTCGAGTATCTTGATGACCTGCTCCACCGTCGGCATGCGGCCCTTCTCAAAGTGAATGTCCTCTCTGAGCAGAGGCGAAACACACAAACATACACACACACACACATCAACACGCAGTAAGGCAGCAGGGAGGAATGGTCCCGTTCTCGTGCAGCCGTCCACTCCACTGACTGACTGACCTGGGCACGACCTTGGCAATGTCTCCGAAGTCCCACAGGTGTCCCTTGGGCGGCCGCACCACCGGGTCGCGGTAGAAGGTCCACTCGTTCTCGTCCATGACCTGCTGGTGCTTGTCAGAGTAGTACTGCTGCGCCCTCTCCAACAGACGCTCCTTGTTCTCGCGGTAGAACCGCTGCGCCGGCGTCAGATAGTCGTCCTCCTCGTCACCAGACGACACGGCCTCCTCCTCTCTCTCGGCCGCATCAGTCGTCTTGTCATCCTCTGCAGCAGCCAGGGACTGCTCCTGCTCCTCGTCCGCTGCACGGAAATGCTCAGTGGGCAGCGCCTCGGCGTCGGCCAGAGTGTCGAGGTGGACGCCCGCCGTGGACGTCGACGTGTCCCCCGCATCGGCACCCACCGGTTCGAAGGCGCCGATGGATTCCTCCACCTCCCTCATGAGCTCCTCTGCACTCTTGGTAGGGTCGATCGGCTGCCGTGGCGGTGCGGTCTCCCTCTCTGGTTTGTGGAAGCCGCGCTCGGCGTCGATGACAAAAGTGGGGATGCCGCCGCCGGCCGACTCGTGGACGCTGTCCTTGAGACCGGCCGTCGACAGCAGCGTGTCGTCTATCTCAAACACCTGCGGGGAGGTCTCCCGCCGGTCGTATACCGATGCTGCCTCGCCCTCGTCGGCCTCAGGGATGCCTCGCCCTCCGTCACTGGCCTGCTTCCGGAGGAGATCAGCCAGCCTCTCGAGCGTGTCGGGCTGAAAGTGATGGGATGATGATGTTGAAGACGATGAAGGGAAGGAGCGGTCGGTGTGGGCGTCATGATCGCTCCTGCGGCCTCTTGCTGATGCGCTGTTGTCCTCTGTCGATGGCTCGGTGTCGTCGGTATCTCTCGGCTGCTGAGTGGTGATGAATCTCTTCACCTGGCCGATAAGAGCAGCAGATCTGGGCTGCACCACCAGCCTCAACAGGCGCTGTGGACTGAGCATGACGATTCCAGCAATAGTTCCAGACGGATGAAACAATAGTACATGTGAGATGCGTCGCAAATATATATTAGATGCGTCGACGCGGCCTGGGCGTCATTTTGTCCCTGTTTCTCCTCATCTGCACACATCCGTGCCGGACGCACTCCCCACTCGTCGCCCTGCAGCTCCTCAACCGTCGCCACCTCGCGCCAGCGCCTTCAGAAGGTCAGACAACGGACACATACAGCGGACGGGCTGAACTGGGCTGAGGTGGGCCGCTTCTCTTATATGTCTGTTCCTTTCCAGGCGACAGCGGTGTGTTCTTGTTACACACTGTCAGCCCGGCGGCAGACGAAGGCGATGACAACTCGTGGGGCAAGCCTCCTGAAGACCCGGCGGATGACGACACGAGCGGCGACCAACAACCGAGCCCATCGCCGAGAGCTGATTCCGGTGAGTGAGCATGATCATAGATAGAGGCCGACACGCTCCGGCACGGCTGTGTGTGTGTGTATGTGTGTTCGCGCCGCAGAGACGGAAGCTTCTCGTCGGCCTGTTGAGGACATCAGCAGTGTGTTCGGCCTCCCTCCCTCTCGGGCAGACGAGGGCGACATGTGGGGCAAACCGGATATTGATGAACACCAAGACAACCAAAATGACCAAGATGATCAACACGACAAGGCGCCTCCCAATACGACAGTTCAACCAGAGCCGAAGGAAGGACAAGGTAGGCGTATGTATGATGCAGTGACGACGACATCTGCATGACATGACATGACCTGTCGATGTGATGTCAGCAAACCACAACGGTGCCAAGGAGAGCAAGGACGAGAAGCTGTTCGCCGTGCCGTCGCGTGACACGACCGCGGCACCGACAACAAAGGCCCCTCCCGCCTTCGGCAAACCCCTCGATGGGAGCGGCACAAACGGTATGTGATGTGGCTCAGTGAGAGAACACCACACCCAATCCAACCGACACCAATGGTTCTTTCTGTTTCTCCCTCACACACAGAGACCGCCACGGCCGAGTGGGTAGAGATGGAGGAGCGCGGGGGTGATGACGTCATTTGCTCATGCCGCAAGGTCAAGAAGTCGCCCTTCGCACCCTCCCCAAAGGAGGCCGAACAAGACCAGCCGGACGGGGGCGACAGTAAAGGAAGTGAGGAGGAGGAGAGCAGTCCCCCTCCCCCCACCGCCAAGCCATCACGGAGGCCTCAACGGCACCCAGAGAAGTACCAGCGGTTCATCCAGACCAAGAAAGGCCGGGCCGTCCTCGCCAAGTGCCGGGCGATCGTCGACTACTTCGACGAGTGGGAAGATGGGGAGCCACGCCTTCGCCCTTCGGTGCCGGGCATGCCGCCCATCCCGCCCTCTTCCGCCGGGCCAAAGAAGCCACGGAAGAGGACCGAGGAGCCTCAGTTCCGCCCGCCAGCACATCTGCGTGACCACGGCAAGGAAAACCCCCAGACACCACCCCCTGACCCACAGACTCAGCCCCCCTCTCCTGATGAGGACGTCCCCCAGGAGCCACCCCGGGTGCCCCAGGCACAGACTGAGAGCGTCCCAGAAGGGGAGTGGAATTCGCCGCCCCAGACCGGGCGACGTCCTGGCGGCGGCAACAGCCATCCGGAGGGCCATGAGGACCCGCCACAACCAGGCGACGGGCAGGGTGGCGACCAGATGCCAGACAAGCCCTGGGAGGTGTACGGGCCGAGCGGTGCGGCTGACTCTGGCGAGGGCGAGGGCGGTGATGATGGTAATGGTGCTCCGCCCCGCTCGACGGGAGATGGAGGTGGCGATGCGGGTGATGGACAGGGCGGCGAGAGCACGGGGCAGGACATTGGTCAGCTGTTGGAACAGGTGGGTGAGTATGTCGACGACGAGGACGACGTCACCATCTATCCCCCACCCGTCTTTGATGCTGACCCGCCACAGCCACCACAACAACCGCCCGACCCTCAGCAGCCACGACGGCCCCACACGCAGCCGCCGCCGACACCACCACCCGCTCCCCCAGACGTGCCGCAGCAGACGGAGGTGCCTGATGACCTGAAGGAGTATTACTACAATGAGGACAACTACCACGACACTGACGAGCCGACCGACCAGGGTAATGCGTTTCTGTCGTCATCCTCATCGAGTAAAGCACCACCCAAGGAGGCGACACCCACGACAACGCGACCGCCGTCAGCTCACCAAGGCGTTGTGGACAAACCACCCGGCAGTATGACAGGCGCCATCAGCAAGGACAAAGAGACAGGCCCCGACTACGAAGTCAGGTCGCCCTCCTCACCCTCACCCTCACGCGACACCGACACACACACAGACCAGCCCCCCTCCGCCATCAGGGGGCAGTCCGGTGACGTCGCTGCAACACCAGACAAAGAAGAAACCAACACGACTACCACCAGCGTCCCGCCGGCCTCGTACAGCACCCTGGAATGGGTCGCCGCGGGTATTATCGCGTTTCTGGTTGTAGGGGGTGGTGGTGTGGGTCTCTTGTGGGTGCTGACGGCCAAGCCTGACCAGTGGGGCAGGGGACCGGGTGTCCTGTCGTTCGCCGAGACGAGTGCGTATGGGTCGGCGACGCCTACATCGCCCACGAGGGGGGCTGAAGGGACGTAGGTGAGCACACCGCGGATTGGCGTGGAGGAGGTCGTGGAAGCAGAAAGGCCGCGGGCGACAGGGCGCCGCCCACGTTCATTGGGGCGCGGAAAGGGGCGGGGGAGCAAAGGTAGCCAGGGTGCAATCAATGAGCATTACATTTGGTGTTTGTTTGCAATTTGTACATGGATGTGTTGCATGCATGGCATGTACGTGCTTGCGTGTCAGGCAGGGCTTGTGCTGCATGGTGTACATACATATGTATGTGTCTGTACGTACACGTCTGTACATACGTACATTTGTACATGAGTGTGTTATACAGACAGACAGGTACGTACAGATGCATGCCATGCCATCCTGGTGTTTGTGTACAGGTAGGCTGGCTGGCTGGATCAGCCTGGATGGCTGGTGTTTGGCGTCGTGTCTTATTGCTGTTCCTGTTGTTATAGTCTCTGTGTGCGAGCACACGACGATGTGGTTCATTCCATCCTGACAGTGAGTCAGTGAGTCAGCCGACTGCCTCCGTCCCACTACTATCCTCCCACACACATTTGTCAGCCAATTCGGGCGGCTTTTTTGGCGTGCGCGGCATCGCTTGCCGCCTTCCCGTGCCTGTGTGCGTGTGTGTGCATCGTTCTTCAATGCCCCTGGAATCGTTCATTCAGGTCGTCCTTGGCTGGTTGCTTTGATTGCATGCAATGGGTGGTTGCGTGTTGGATAATTGATCGATTCATCGATTCATGACAAAAGGTGCGATCGTCTTCCTTGTCAATGCTGTTTGCTTGAATGGAATGAACCGTCGAGTCACTGAGGGCAGGGTTGGGCAGTGAGACAGACCAGGGCAAAAGGTGGCCCGGTTGCTGTCCTTCCCTCTCCCTTTGCGTTTTCTACTGCTGCACGATTCCTTTTTGTTGTTTGAGTGGGTTCATGGGCTGCGTGATGGTGTCTGGACGAGCGGGCTGTGCCGGTCGTGCTGCCAGCATGGCTGACCTCCCAGCCGACGACCCATACAGACCCGCATTCTGCATACACACACACATACACACACACACACAGATACATACATACATGTGCACAGATACAGACAGACCGTGTGCTCTGTCTCCTTGCTTGCTTTTATTGTGTACATGTTTGTGCATTTTTGTGTATGTGTGTGTATCTATCGACAACCCATCTTTCACTTCCTGCCTATCTGTCTGTCTGCGTGTCTGTCTGTCTGTCTGTGTACCTCCCTACCTGCAGCGCTGCTGACAGTTTGTAACGTGTGTCCTTCATGAGGGCCGCCTCGCTGAAGCCACGCATCGGAAACAAATCCAAACACGCCACCTGCACACACCAGACAACACACACCATCCCTCCCTGCTTGAGCGCCTTCCTTGTCTCTCTCTCTCCCTCACATGTGGGTCGTCGGCCTTCTTCCATATCTCGTGGCACTCGAGGCTCTTCAGAAGCCTGTACGCGCGAACCACCACACCTTTTTTGGATGGATGACAAACATCGCTCACACACTCCCACCTGGCAGGGTCGTTTGGTGCAATGACGGCAAACTTCTGCAGCGCTCTGGCAAGGCGTGCCTGTCTATCAGCGGCTTGCTGTTCGGCCGCTTGTTTCCTGAGGTCGGCCTCCTCCTGCTTCCATATCTCAATCTCCCGACGACGGCACAGCCGGACTAATGGACACAGATATCCAGGCGACGAGAGGCACCCACCACAGATGATCTATCTCTCTTTGCCCGTCAGTGCTTGGTTACGTGAGTTGATGATATGTCGGTGTCTGAGCAGCTCTGCTGCCTCTCTCTCCGCATCGTGCCGCGCAACCTCCTCTGCCGCGGCACGCTGCTCCTTCACCTCCCTGCACAAATGCACACACACGGAGAGATGCATCCACTCATGTCTCTTCCCTGTCTGTCTAACCTGAAGCGCATTGCGGCCTGTTTGACCCTGGCGGCGTGCTCTTGCCAGGCGGCCTCGGCTGCGGCTGCCTCCTCGGCACGGCTGATTGCCATACATACACGAAATCGTGTGGGTGAATGTTGTGTGGGTGTGTCGGTTGTCACCTCTTTTGCAGCGCGGCCTCCCTCCGTTGTTTCTGCCACTGCTTCTCCAGGAAGTGCACGCGACGATCGGCCAACTCACGTGTCAGCCGGTCCTTCTCCGCTCTCTGCTTGGCCCGATGCTCATTAGCTTCCTGGCGCTTTCGTGCGTCGTCGATGCAGGTCTGCCACTCATGCCTGGCTTCTTTAAGCATGGCCCATCTGTGTCTGCGGTGCTGTCTGATGGCGGTGGTGTGGTGCTGGGCCAGCAGCAGGAGCTCCTCATAGTCCTGACGACAGCCGCGGAGACACGACCTGCACAAAGAAAGACGTAGCGTGTGTATGCGTATATATATGCAAAAATACAAACATACAGACATACAGACATACATACGTGTTTATGTGGGGCCATTCCTTCGTCAGCCGGTCCATGAACAGCTCGTCTGTCTGCATTACACACACACACACACACACTGAGGGACTGTGTGCGAGTGGCCAGCTGGCTGCCCATGTACGTCCATACGTGTGCGGTTCTCGCTTTTGTGGAGTCTCCTCCATAGTACTGCCGGTATAGCAAATCAAACCGCGCCAAGAACCCACCGCCATCGCCACTGCTACTGCCATCGTCGGCCACCGCCAAAGTTGTGCAGCCCTCATCATTGTCCCCTTCACTCTTCGATGTGTTCTCATCCACAGCCACACGGCCCTCCTCACCCTCCTCACCCTCTGCAGTGGCTTCATGAACCGCCTCCGTCACTGTCCGCTGCATCCGCAGCTTGACAGAGGCCCTCTCTCGCCGCAGCTCTGTCAATCGGTCCAGGAAGGCCTGCTCGGCCTGGTGCACCAACGACAGATAGCGGTGCTGAATGGCCGACGGATGTGAGCGAAAGAATGAGGTGACACCAGATGTCGTCTCGCCGGCCGACGACGAGTGGTTGTCGTCATCGTGTGTGCATGGTGGGTGAGAGGGGGCGTCTTTGATGGCAGGGTGGGGTGCTGGATGAGTGTCTTGGAGGGCAGGGAAGGTCTGTGTGAGTGTGGGTGCCTCCTGACCGAGGAAGCACTCCTCTGCCTCACTGATGTCGGAGCCATCATCTGATCGAAAGGGGAGAGCGAGAGAGAGAGAGACGGAATGAGCTTTTACTTTTGATATCCCCCTGCCCATCTGCTTCCTACTCACCGTCGGCGGCTCGTCCAACAGTGTGATCTCTCAACAGCGCCCGCGTGTCGTCCGGCAGCCCCTGCAGCGCACACCGATACTCCTCAGTTAGTTTCTCACCCATCGTCTGCAGCGACGAGCCAACCACTGCCAACGCCACCCACGAATCAGACATACAACCCGGTCCCTCCCCATTCGATGGAGAGGCCGCTCGGTTGCTGTTGCTTGGAAGACTAGGGCGCGCTCGATGGGTGAGGGGGTCAGCGGCATCGTGTTTATGTGGTACTGGGTGTGTGAGGCTCCAGAGGGCGGACTGTGCAGTGCGTTCCGTCATGTGCTTGGGCCTCTGTGGATCGAAGTATCGTCCGAGATGGGCACGCATGTTCGTCTTAATGCTGGGCGTGTCCAAGGGGCCAGCTGTGGCGTCGTCACTGATGGGAGGTATTTTGCCCGCGGCATCTCTATCTCCCGAGATCGCCTGCTCATCGCATTCGGCAGGCGTTGAGTCATGTGGGCTGGGCACCGCGGCTCCAATCTGCACTCACTACACAGACAAGCTAGCCTGGCAGCCTGAACGAATGCGTGTCCTTTCAATCAGTGCACACCTTGGCCCTGATACTCTGCAGATACGCATTTCGGTCCTTTTCCAGCCTGCCGTAGAATCGTGCCACTGTCGCCTGGCTGCCAGCATCTGACGCTTCCGCCGGCGCATCCACAGTTGCCAGGAGGGCAGAGAAGAGAGGACCGTATTGTGGAGACCCGGCGTCATCCTCGCGAGGCCGCTGACTGCCTGTCTCCGTCTCATCCTCGGAGGCGCACTGCAAGCTGCCGTGTGTCGCAACGAAGCGAGAGATCTCAGCCTCGAGCTCATGCCTGCAACACGTGCCAAGATGCATCCAGTGTGCCGTCTCCCTCCCTCCCTGCCTCCCTGCAAGTCAGTCTGTCTGTCTGTCTGTCTCACCTTTCGTGGAGGAGTCTGTTTGCCTGCTGGGCCCACTGGTGCTTCTGCCTGCTCCAGGTGGATCTCTGCTTCCGCTGCCTCGCCCCTTCACGCAAGGCCGCTATCTGCGCCAGACAACGAGGCGAAAGGACGCACAGACACAGTGCATGCATGCAATGCCACGTAGCGCCGCGCGGGAGACCTTGAGAGCGGCTGGACATGTCCCGTACCCGCTGGCGGATGAGTTGCGACTTCTTCTTTGCCCCTTCCACGGTGATGCCTCTCTGAGACTCTCTCCTCGTCGCCTCTGTCATGATGATGATCGTCAAGTTGGCGGATCTTTTGTGGACAAAATATGTATAACGAGAAACAACAGACGTAGACAGTAGTGGAGAGATGGCTCACAATTAAAGAAAAGAGGCGTGCACGTTGGGTTTTCCGTGTAACAAAACCCCCCGTTTTTCGGTTTCGCGCGATATATGTTAGGGTCGACCAACCACCAACCCGCTGCGAAAGACGAGAGCCACAGGCATCACAACAGGTGAATTCGGACATCACAGGATCTGGCGAAGTCGAAAAGCCCAAGGATCGATACGCTTGTGGGCATTTTTTCTGTGCAGGTGGCGTTTGTCTGCCGAAATGAAGTGTGGCCTCACGTCCCTGCCGCTGGTGGCAGCGGTATTGGCGACGGCGTCGGCAGCGAGATCCCTTCCCCCCTCCCCCTCGCGTGCTGCCTTCCTCAGCCCAGGCGTCGGCAGTGGGAGGAACGGCTTTGCCAACAGCGCAGTGCTCAGCCGCATGGCGAGGCATCGCGCGCTCTCTCCCCGCTCCCCCGGCATCTCGATGGGCAAGGGTGACCTTTTCACGCTCAAGGAGCGGATCTCGTCAGTCAAGAACACAGCCAAGCTGACCCAGGCCATGCAGGCCGTGGCGGCCGCCCGGGTGCGTCGTGCGCAGGACGCGGTGATTTTGAATCGGCCGTTCAACGCTGGCATCCAGTCGATGATATCTGGGATGCTCAACTACCTGCGCAAGACCACCCAGTTCGTGGACACCAACGAGATCCCGCTGCTCAACACGCGGCCGGACCCCAAGACCGTCACGCTCATTGTGGTGTCGGGCGACCGCGGGCTGTGCGGTTCGTACAACTCGCAAGTCATCCAGCGGGCCAAGGACAGGATCCTGGAGCTGGAGAACCAGGACTTCAAGGTGCGGCTCGTGACGGTCGGCCTCAAGGCAAACAGCTTCTTGCGCAAGACCGAGGGCTGGGAGAGGGGCTACGAGTGCACCACCTCCCCGACGGCCCAGCAGGCCGGCGAGATCTTCAGGTCCATCCTGCAGGACTTCATCAACTTCGAGACGGACCGCATCGAGATCGTCTACACCAAGTTCATCAACCTCCTCAAGAGCGAGCCCGCCATCCGCACCCTCGTGCCCCTCACCCCCCAGGGCATCGAGACCGAGGGCGACGAGATCTTCACCCTCACCACCAGCCCCACCTCCGGCAAGGTGCGAGTCGAGAAGCGAGAGCTCTCCCCGGCACGGGCGGCGGACATCGACAACCTCGAGCTGCTGCAGGACCCCATCACCATCATCAACGCCCTCCTCCCCGTCTACGCCGAGGGGCAGGTCCTTCGGTGTCTGCAGGAGGCCGTCGCCGCAGAGCTGGGGGCGCGCATGCGGTCCATGCAGGCCGCCACTGACAACGCCAAGGAGGTCGCCGGCACCCTCATGATCGACTACCAGAAGAAGCGACAAGCCGTCATCACCCAGGAGGTGTCGGAGATCATTGGCGGGGCGGAGGCACTGCAGGCGCAGCTGACCGCCGAGGCGGCAGCGGGCGGCATGACGCCTGAGGGCATCGACCTCAAGGATGCCTTGGAGATGTTTGCACGCATCCAGGAGACGATGGATGTGCCACCTGGTGTGGAGGGCGAGGCGATCGAGGGAGAGGAGGAGGTCGTGGACGAGAGCGCCGAGGCGGAGGAGGACATGAGGATGGAGATGCTCATGGGCGACAGCCTCCCGGCCACTTTTGCGGAAGAAAAGAAGCTTGTCGAGGTCTGAGAGGGACAGGGGAGAGTGCAGAGGGGAGAGGCGACAGACAGACAGACAGACAGGCAAGGAGAGGAGGGGGGCAGCTTTGGTGTAGTGACATCGGTCCCCTCTTGTTGTTGCCTCCACGAATGCTGCATGAATGAGTGCACCCTCGTACGGTCTTTCCCCAGCTGCCCTCCTCCCTCCCTCCCTGTTGCTTGTCTGCCTGTTGTCACACTCAAGTGTTTTTGCCCGCCTCGCCTCGCCGCCAGCTGTCTGCTGCTATGTTGTATGTCAATGAAGAGATGGGAGTGAGTCTACTGATTGACGTGATGATGAGACATACAGACCCCTTTGTGTCAACGCAATTGCCCTTTCACGACGTGCTGGCTGGCTCACTGGAATATTGATCCATCGATCAGGCGAGTACGCCTCTGCATGACATGGATGATCCATCCACTCGTTGTTTGATTTTTGCACTCACTCACTGGTAGACAGTGGTCGGTGTGGTGCATTGATTGTGTGGTGTGGTGTGTGTACTACTGCCTGTACGTATGCGTTGACGGATCCGTCCGTACAGAGTCAGATAGTGCCACACACATGGGTATGTGGTGGGTGGGTGGGTGAATTGGCGTGATGCATTCATGCGTGTCTGTGAGCGGCTGTCTTGCTACTTACCTGGCTCAACGAATGCTCTTGGGGTGCTCTTTTTCCAGCATGACGATCAGCGGGGGAGACGGGCAAGACGGCTACCTCAGCTTTCCTCTCTCCATACTTGCATACTTACGTGATACATACATGTCTTCATTGCTTGGTGTACATTTCAAGACACTGCTACAGACATGAGTCCACAAGGCCAATTTTGCAAGTGTGCAGCCAAGTGTGAGTCCATCGATGGTGTGTGCAAAGCGGCAGATCGGCCGCTCCCCGGGGAACCCCGCCGAGACTGCGTGGTGGTGGGGGCTCCCGAGCAACCCCCACGGCGCCGCGGTCAGCGAGGCAAACTCTGCGACCGATTCACCAATGACGTCGGGACAGCTCAGGTAGACAACTCTCAAAGACACCGAGTGTCTGCAGAGCGCGTATGTACTCCGTGTGTGCAGCGACAGCCGTGATCTCATCAAGCTCCCCACGTTCGACACACATGGCATTGCATCGAGCGCCACTGTCGCCCCAACAAAGGGCCTCTACTCTTCCCTCCAGAGCCTTCCCTTGTTCGGTGAGGCGAAACCCATCCGTCCCTTCTCCCGTCTCAGCCCGGCGGCCTCTGCTGAGCTCAAGACGCCCTTCGCCCCACTCCTCACTCCATGGAGCTCGAAGTCAGCACATGAACTCCACGACAGCGACAGACCCCTCTTCTCAACAGTGCCACCGGCAGACACGGGCTCCCTCATCGGCTATGGAGCTCCGGCTTTCGCCGGCTCCCGCCTGCGGCCCCGTGACTCGTCAGATGACATGGCTGCCGCAAAGCCTGCCCTGAACAGTGAGCAGAGTGCGGAGTCCGACCGGCCGTTTTATCGCAAGACCATGTCCTTCTTCGAGTCCGCAACTGCGACACCGGAGCGGCCAAAGGATGCGCAACACGGGGTGGACCGGTCCGTGAGCTGGCATCTCCTTGGTTCGCCGCCAACAAGACTCTGCGAGCCGCCCCCAACAGCCATAACAGCGAGGCTGCCCTTTCCCCCACAGATTGGCAGCGAGGAGACGCTGATCAGGCCCGCCACGCTCCCTGACCTGTCGCTGCCCGTGGACCCTTTCATGACCCGCACTGCCCGTCCAGTGTTCACGATGCCGTCGCTCGATGGCCTGCCCGAAGTGTCTCGCGGATCTGACCCATCCCGCTCTGCTGCTGCCGATAGGAAGAATCAAGACAGCGGTGAGGTCATGCCGGTGCCAATGGCGGGGGCCGATGTGGGCCTGTCGAGGTTCGCGATGGATTTGGGACGAGTTGACGGAGAGGGCAGCCCCTTTGCGGCAGAGGTGGGAGAGAAGGATGAGGACTTCAGCGTGGAGAGACTGCTGGTGAGAGAGGAGTCGGCACACACTCATGCAATGCCTTGATGCACGTACTTTCCGTCGATTGGTGTAGGCGTCTCTCAATCTTGATGAAGACATCCTGCATGGGATCACAAGCGGATCAGACAAAGACGCGGGCCGCACAGCTGGGGAGAAAGACATCGAAGAGATCATGACTCCTTCAAGACAGCCCCCGAGGGACACGGATACATCTTTGGCCGAAATCAATGTCTCGCCCAACCACCCTTCTCCGCTCGCTGACGTCTCTCCTCCCGCCATTGCCTTTGACGGCGGTGAGGTCCCAGTGACAACCTTTGATCAGCCCTTTCTTGAGCCCCTCCCTGTTGACCCAATCCACGACCGCCAAGGTGGTCCTCCCGACTCGCCACGGCCTCCAGACGACAGCCAAGAGCCCTCCAAGCCACCGCCCAAGCACCAAAGTCCGTCGCCCTCGCCTTCTGACGACCGTCGCAGCAATGTCTCGCCTTCACGGAAGAGATGGGTGGCGATCACCGAGATAGGGCCTGATGATGCAGGCGTGCCGCACACGCATCACACGCCGTCATGCCAGCTGAACCGCTTCCACGAGAGGCACCATGAAGAGACGGTGCACAAAGGTCTTTCCCAAGATCAGCAGCAGCATCGTTGGTGGAGAGAGGGGGGCTTTGTCGCTGACCCGCTGAAGGCTTATGTGGAGGGAAAAGGGGCCATGCCATCTCTTGCCCTCTCTCCTGCGGCTGATGACGCGACTGCCAAGACAGAGACACAGGACGACACGCAGCAGCCCAGGCCAGACGAGACGCAGAACGAGCCAAGCGTGGCCTTGGTCGAATGCCCAAGCGCAGAGTTCGGCATCGAAACGAAGGAAGAGTCCCATCACCCCGGTGCCAAAAGTATCGAGAAGCCTGTCACGCCTGCCCCTGCCACGTCCACGCCGCCAAAGCGCCTGGCCATCTCGAAGCACTCCGAGTGTTCGACTGCTGCCGGGTCCCACCTGACGCCACACCGGTCGTCGGGCTTCTCGGGCAAGTCCACCCCTTTCATGACGTCACGGGTGGCCACACACACACGGGAGTCCCGGCTGGTGTCGGTGGGCTTCCGGCACCCCGATCCGCCCTCGCCCTGGCGATACACACCGCTGATTGACCAGGTCGTGAAGAAACTCGAGGCTGTGTCTCTTGTAACCACACCAACCAAGGACATGGGGGCAAATGGCGGCGGGGCTGGTCGTTTTGTTGGGGCTCCAGTGCCTTTGCACGTCGCGAGCAAGGAGAAGGATGCTGGATCTCTGTCTCATGGTGCGATACCCAAGTACCTGATGCAGTCGGACCGGTCTCTGCAGCCGCTGGCATCGACCTTCATGCGGGCCTTGCGGGAGCGGTGGCTGGGGGAACAGGAGATCGAATCGCTCCTTCGGACGTTGCCCCAGTCGCTGCAGACAAGCTTCAGGATGGAGCAGTGCGACAAACACATCCGGAGCCACCTCAACGGCCACGGTGCTGCAGATGAGTCGGGTTGCTACCCCATCATAGGCCGCCCTATGCCGTGGGAAGGCCGGCTGCCGCGGCACCTCAGGCCTTCCATGACGCCAATGAGGTATCGTTCTCCTTCACTCGAAAGGAGCTCATCTGTGAGGGAGACACGGCCACGCAAGTCTTCTGGCCAGCCTTCCCAGCACGAGTGTCGCGTGTTTGGGGCCAAGTATGGAATGCCCTGTCTCTGGATGGCGGATGCCGAGCGACATCCATACCAGCCTCACCAGCATCATGACGATGCGAGATGGATGGATGGGCAGCAGGTATGTGTGTTGTGTTGGCATCCGTGTCTGGGGGCAAAGGATGGATGGATGGATGTGCTTAATTGTGTACAGGTGGAGGTGCGCGTGCATCGGTGGCCGTCCACGTCTGCCACCCCCCAGGTCGATGTGCAGACCATCAAGAGGAGCTTCGACGAGCGGAGGAAGAGATTCAGTGCCGGGGGGCAGTGAACGAATGAATGAACCATGGATGGCATGGAAGGATGCATGGAGACATTGCGGACCTTGTGCCTCTGTATGTTCAATGAGTGAGTGTATGTGGTCGTGAGCGAAAGACTGTCATGGTTGACTGACATATGTCATGTCGATACGCACGTACGTATACACACACACACACGTACGTCCAGCGTCTTCGTGTCACGTCACGTGCGGTAAGGCAGACAGACAGGCAGGCAGGCAGGGAGGGAGGGAGCGAGTGCAAGGAGAGGAGAGTGGGGGAGAGAAGCGGTGCAGTCAGTCGGTCAGTCAGTCAGTCAGTCGCTACTAGTGAGTCTGCGTATGTACGTACGTATGTACGTGTGGGCATCCGTATGTATGTATGTATGTACGCATGCCATGTACGTACGCAGCGCATGATGCACTTCTCTCCACACCCATGCCATGCAGGCAGGCAGGCACCGATCATTGGTACGAACTCATCCACCCACCCATCCACCCACCTATCCGTCCGTCCATCCATCCATCGAAGCTCGCCTTTGGCGCCCGCAACAACCACCCACATGCCCGCCCCGCCCATCTGTAGTGTAGCTGTCTATATGCACATGGCTGTATGTCCTGTGTTGTATACACACATCCATCCCATCAACCCATCTATCTGAGGGAAAAACGCAGACAGACAGACACGCAGACAGACAGAGGAGAGAAAAAGCGAAAAAATGCCGGTTCCATCCATCCACATACATACATACAGTTATCTATGTCTATCTAATGTTCTAGATTCCATGTAAGAAAAGCTACAACCAAGGGTCGACCAACGAGCGTCCAAGCTTAAGAGGCTCGCCGAAAACGCCAAATGCACACACAAGAAAGAAGGCAACCACCACACAAACTTCCATCATCCAAAACAACCCACCACCCACCCCACCCACCGAGGCGCCTTGCACGTGTGGCCACTGTCTGTCTGTCTGTCTCGTTCACTGTCTGGGTGTCTCTGTCTGTCTGTCTGTCTGTGTCGGCCGGCGCGCTTTGGCGCCGCAGAGGGGGAGGGAGGGGGAACCGACACATACGTAGACAGACCACAGCACGAGAGGGCTGAGCTGACGACAGGGCCGACGGTAAAACCACCATCAGGTATGGTATGCTGCGCCTCAGCAGTGTCTCGATTGATTGATATTATCCTCACCTGCGAGCGGCGTCTGATCAGCCAGCCGACCAGACAGGTACGATACACCCACCCACCCAACCAACCAACTCTCCGGTCCCTCCCAACACAACACCTGGCAGGCAGGCAGCAAAGGCACCTTCCTCGCCCGCCACACGGACGCTCGCACGGACACGCAGGCGCGTACGAATGGGTGGGTGGCGGACATTTATGCATTCGGGCATTCATGCGGTTGCACGCTGACCTGCCCGCTTCAACCTCCCTCACTCTATCGCTCACTCACGCACTCACTCACTCAATCAATCAAAAGCCACCCTCCACTCCCCGCCGCCCCGCCCCGCCCCGCCCAGCCCCCTATCAAGATCCATCCGTGTGTGTGTTAAGATATGTTAGTATGTGTCGGCAACTAAACCACCCCACCCATGTAAGTACCCCATGCACACATGCATGCACCCGTGGCCAACCGTGAAGCTTTCAAACAACAAGCACAACCACAACGACAAGGCGGACAGGCAGGCAGGCAGGCAGAAAAAGTGGGGGAGGGGAGAGGGAAGGGGCGGGGTCACTGTCTGTTTGTCTGATTTTGTGCCCGTCTGTGCATCCGTCCGTCCATCCATCCATGGTCAATGTCATATCATGCAACCGATGCGAGAGCCAGGGGGGACAGGAGAGAGGACGGGACGCGACAGGACGGGGCGGGGCTTGGCGGGGCGGGCTGCGGCAGAAAAAAAGAAGGAGGGGATATTTGGATCGATCAGGTCAACAAGCAGCTGCCAGCCTGCCCTGCCCTGCCCTGCGCTGCCCTGCCCGCCCGGCACGTCCGTCTGATTCGTCTCGTCTTCTCTCCGGTCACACACACCGGCACACCAACACAACACGGACATGAGACAAAACACACCGACACCCATCCATCCATTTATCCATCCATCAATGTTTGTTCAAACATCGACACGACACCCTCCCTCTCCCCCCCTCGCACACACCACACACACATACATACATCACACAATACATTCCATCATTCTACTACTGTTGACTGACACGACACACACACACAGACATGTGAAAAGCACCAAGGGAGGAAGGATGAGCACCACACAAGTACGTACAAGGGTCTCTCTCGCTTCGTTCCTTACTCCAAGTAGTTCCTTCCACAACATCATAACATCCAGGTGAAATGCACACGACACACACGCACAAGACACAAACCGACAAACGAGCAACGACCCCAAGTCGATGTCATCAGCCGAAGAGCCCCCGATCAGAGTTGGGGGTGGTCGGCAGCGCCCCAAACGGATGATGACTGAGGTCATGGTGGCCACCCAGCCCGCCGTGCAGCGACGGCAGACCGTGGTGGTCATACAGCCCTCCCATGCCACCCACACCCACGCCCACACCCAGGAAGCCGCCCCTATCGCCCCCATGCCACCAGCCCTCGGTGTCGTCCTCGTCGAATATGAGCGTCAGGGGTCCCTCCACGGGCTGGCTGTAATGCCGACACATCTGGTGGAGAGTGGTGGTGCGGTCGATGGGGCACGGCAGCGTCCTGTTCGGGTTGGACGCGAAGGCGGGGCCCGGCACGCCCTGCTCCCCGCCACTGCCACTGCCACTGCTGCTCTCGCCGCCCTCACCGCTTTCGCCCCCACTGCCGGAGCTGCTGCTGGCTGTGTTGCTGGCGGTGGTTTTGGTGGTAGCGGTTGTGGCTGTGGCTGTGGCTGTGGCTGTGGCTGTTGTGTCGAAGCAGGGCCTGACAATGCAGGCGTGTGGCCTGAATGGGTTGTAGTCGTCTGTAAGGTCGCCGATGGTGGTCGTATTGGGGACGTAACGGGAGAGCGTCTTGCCTCCGTTGGCCTTGCGCATCCGCACCAAAGTGAGGGCCGGCCCTGGACCGGGCGACGTCGTGCAGCTCCTGCTGCTGCTGATGGCTGCAAAACTCGACTGACACACACCACACACATACACACATACACACACAATGGACCTCTGCTTGCTGCCTCCTTCAATCCCACCATCCCAATCCTTACTTACCCTGGGTGAGCATCTTCTCGTGGCACACACCGGGTCAAGAAGCCCATCGCCCATCGGACTCATCCCTCCAAACCCACGGCCGCCAAGGCCGCCCAGGCCCACCACATGATCGTCGCTGCCGTCCATCAGCTCCTCCTTGACGCGCGCGCCGCCGAAGAAGTCCGTCTGCGAGTCGCCGCCGATGATGGCCATTGGCTCGAGCATATCGCTGTCTGGACATCCGAGGACGGTGCTGCTGTCGCTGCCTGGGCGGGACACCCGGCTGTTGTGGGGGTATGCATATCGCATTGAGTAGTGGGAGGGGTAGGGCTGCGTGTGGAGGGGCGGGGTGAAGGCTGACGACACCGTCGATGTCGGCGGAGACGACTGGTCCATCTGCTACAAGGGCAGACAGACAGACAGACAGACAGACAGACAGCCAGTGGATGATAGGTGCTAGGTGCTGGGTGCCGTGTTGTCTCTTATCTCTGATCTCTGATCTGACCTTGGTGCCGTCGGCAGCAGTGGCGTGTGCCTCGCCAGGCTCCGTCTTGACGCCCCTGCCCCGAGGGCTGTGAGGCAGCGCTCCACCATTAAGAAGTGGGCTCTGATCGCCCCCCCCTCCATGCTGGTCGCCTTCCCGGCCCCCCTCCCCCCCGGCCGCACTGGACCACTCAGAGCCACCCTGCTCGCTCATGTCCTTGCCGTGAAGGCCGTCTGGCGTCGAGGGCGCCAGCGCGGGCAGAGGGGCGAAGGGGGGCTGCGACCAGTGCTGGTGCGAGTGGGAGTGGGGGCATGGTGGCTGAGAGGAGGCGTAGCCCGTCTGTGGTGGCCCCCTGACACCACTGCTGACGCGTGCGGCAGCGGCTTGTCGTGATGGTGGTTGGTTGTTGCTGTTGTACTGTGCGAGGAAGGCGTTGAAGGCCTCTGACCGTTGCAGGGGGTGCATCGTCGACATCAACGACGTCTGCATCTGTGACCGAAGGGGAAAGAAGAAGACAGAGTGCGTGAGAGCGTCTCTCTGCTGTGCTGAGCTGTGCTGAGTGTGGTGTGCTGTGTGTGTTTCCGGCGCACATCGGGAATGAGTCCCGGGTCCTCGAAAAAGCCAATGATGTGGCTCGGGTCCAATGTGGTGTTGTAGTCTGATACACAAAAACACAACGCACCATGTAGGCAAGCAAGATGGATGGATGCCGCAGAGCACAGAGAACTGTGTGTCGGACCAGGGTGCCTGACGTCTTTGATCTCGAATAGCTCCAGGTACTTCTTGCCGCTGCCCTTGGTGCTGTCATAGGTCTTTAGGATATCTGTCGGTGATCAAACACAAATACGGCACATACACACGCTCAGGGTAATACTCCCTCCCTCCCTGCGTATGTGTGTGTCTGTGTGCCTGTGTGCCGCCCGTCTTACTCACCGAGTCTGGCAAGCATGTGGTCTGGTCCCTTGGTGGCGATCATCCCAGGGTCGTGCCACAGGCTCATGTGCTCCTTGTAGAACTTGCTGCCGTCATAGATCCGCCCACACAGACACACAATCCGCTGCGCCCTCGCGGCCCCGTTGTCGTCAATCAGCGCGTTGCCGAAGAGCCTCCGTCTGTTGCACGAGAGGCGCTTCCCCCCGCCCTCGCGGCACAGATGGCACTCGCCGCACGTCCACACCAAGAAGGGAAAATTGGCGTGGAGGCGGACGCGGCACCGCAGGCTGCACGTCTGGTTGGATCGGCGGGTCTGGAAGATCCAGCACCCTTCCTCTTCACTATAGTAGTCGCTGTTGGGCTGCGCCTTGCGGAAGCAGAAGTTGTCATTGGCGATGTCGCTCTTGCCCTGCTCCTCGTGCTTGGTGCGCCAGTCCTGCCAGCTGTTGAGCCCATTGGGCGAGCAGAGAGCGATGTAGCCTGGCCGGCCGGCGTTGCGTGAGCGCTTGGTGACGAAGGGGGGCGGGTGTGGGGGGCGGGAGGAGGTGGCTATGAGGGGCAGGTCTGGCTCAGGTAGTAGATTGTGGCTGCATGACCCATGGTGGGACATAGACACCACAGACTATATAGCGAATGGCCGCCCTGCCTGCCCTGCCTGCACCTGAAATGAACACCAGCACGCCGTTCCCATCATGGCGATGCTTCCTGATGCTTCCTGTGTGTACGTGTCGTCCGTACCTGCTCACGACGATGGGTGGCCCCCGTGACGGCGCCAGCTGACCCACCCTCCGAGAAGATCACGATGATGAACAAGCTGGTGAAGCCGGCTGTCAGGCCTCCATCGATTTCGATTGAAGGACGAGCGGCCGTCTGTCTGTCTGTCCGTCCAAAAAGGCCAGAGAATAAAACCGGTTGTGCCGGAAGGAAGAAAAAGGGAATCAGTGAGTGAGTGAGTCACTCAGTCAGGAAGTCAATGAGTAAGTGATGACTGGCGAGGGGTGAGCAGGGCCAGCCGATGATCTCCGGCTGCCTGCTGATGCCCTGTCTTGGTGCCGCCTGTAAGTGTTTTTCGGTACAGTGTCCCGTACATCACGTAAACACGCACAGAAGCTCGCGCGTTTTTCCCTTCCCTCCCTTTCCCTCACATGGAGAAGCACAGCGCGAGTGCGAGTGCCCCCCGCCACACGAGCGCCTCTCTCACGTGCCTCTCCTCCTCGCTCAAGCGGCCCCCATTCAGGTACGGACAACGGGTACGGAAAGAACGCGAAAGAACCCCGACACGTGTGTGAGCTCATTTGGCTGTCATGATGTGTACAGCTACTCTTCCGCCTTCGTATACCACCGCAGGTACACCATACACCATATTGTGCAATGCAGTGCTCCTGTGCACTGCAGTCACTCTACCGCGGCGTGACTCTCTATGCTTGGCATCAGTCGTTCGTGTGCCGCTTACCACGATGTTCTGAAAGAGTGAGGAGTGGACGCATGCACGTGGCAGTGGATCACCGCACTGCGCACACAGGATCCATCCCTCTTTGCCGATTTATCGTCTGCGACCGACCCCGCGCACACCGCGACAACCGCCTCATGGGGCCGCGCGTTCAACAGCCCGCCGAGCGGTCCGTCAATACGGTGGAAGCCCAGGGCCACGCCGGCACCACATGCGCCTGACTTCAGGATCATGAAGCTCAAGGAGCGGCCGAGCAGACAGGTGAGAGACCCTGTGTGGCGGGTCGATAAATGCCCACTGTGGCTGTGTATGTGTATGTGTGTAGGCTGCAGTGGGCCCCGACGGCCCGGCTGAGGAGGCCAGGTACCTCAGCAAGACCACTGTGGGAGCCTTTGTCACCAATCCGCTGCGGCCCACAAACCAGGCTGCCGTCAACTGGTAGGCGTGTGTCTGGACATTGAATATCAATGCGCTTTCATTGATTATCAATTGGTGTTTGGCTCAGGCAATATGGCCTTCGTGAGAGTGACCAGGGCCATGCAGAGGACTGCTTGCCACCCGTGAAAGCCGACAGTCGACGAACACGCAGCAGGAAGACACCATGGCAGCGGCACTTTCAGCGATCAGATGGTGGGCAAGCAGGGCAAGAGACAAGAATGCACCAAGCCAGCGAGATAGATGAGTGAGATGGCTGATGCAGGGCCATTCGAGAGTTACGGTGGTGGCCAGCAGCAAGAAGAGCCCACACAGGAGGGTGGGAAGGAAAACGGGAAGCGGAAGGTCCATCGCATGACGCCCTCGATCTCCCTACCCGACCTCAACCGCACATCGCCCATCGATATGATTCGTTCTGATCCATATGACGAAGAGCTACAGACACCCAAGAAAGAGGAGACGCGGAAGCGCCACCTGTCATACAAGTATCTGAAGCCAAGCCCATCCAAGAGCGCCTTTGGAGGCGTGTCGAAAAGCAGAAAGAGGTGCCGTGTGCCGGGGCTGGAAGGTCAGTGAGACGTGTGTATGTGTTAGATGTGTGAGTGGGGCAATCAATCGATCGATTCTCTGTGTGCGTGCAGGTGATGTGGTTGGGGTATGGCAGGACCTCTACAAGGGTAGCTTGAACCAGACACGTAGCATGATCAAGTGGCACGCCTCACTCAGATCATATTAGAGTAAAGCACTACGGTGCTCGTATAATATCGTATAGAGTAGACTTGATTGGATGTCTCTGATGCCCTGATCTCATTCGTGCACGCCGAATGCGCAGACACGCATCTATATACGCAATTAATGTACAAATGTACAAATACACAAATAGACTTACTTGATGACCGCTCTTCTCTGCAAGGAAAAGAAATGAAGACGGTGTGAATCCATACAGACAATATGTGTGTGGCGAAGTCGCATGTCCGACTGATCGCCAAGTGACAGGCAGCATCGAGGAAGAAATCTACTGCGACAGACTGACTGAATCTAACACTCACTCTCACCATCGACCCTGCGCATGCACGTACGAGTGTCACGCTGCCACTCAGGCATCACAGAACTCAGGCATCACAGAGACACCACATCGCGGCATAACGTGTGTACCCCGAATCCCCGAATAAGGAAAACGATGAACAGTGGACACAGAAGGAGAGTCACGTCTTGATGTGTCAAATCACGGAACCCTCATTGGATGTGTCATGCCGACGATTGACTAGGACGCTGATTGCACACATTAACAAAAGTCGACCTGTAGCAATCGACAATTGCCCTTCTTCTCGTGCCTTCTTACAAGAGTCGATGACGCCGTCCCGTCGTCCGATCGTCCCGTCAGCTGGCTCGGAAAGCGACGGCCGTGGCGCCGTCTCTGGTAGCACTGATATACATTCACGTATGTGTAAGAGACCAAGCACGTTCTCTTCAGAGGTGTTCTGTGTCCTTACCGCAGTCGATTGCCACGGGACAAAGGGCCTCCACGTTCCCTCTCCCTCCATCATCCGGTCTGATAAATTCAACGCTCAATGGCACAGTGCGAATCACGTAATACTGGATCCCGTCTGCTTCAAAGTCGTCACGGAGTGAACATATTCCTCCATCGCGCCTCATCTTCAGAATATCGAGTGCGTCGATGCGGCTGCACGATAAGGCGAACGAGGAAGGGGCGGTGAGATCGCCGATGAGATAGTCAGCGCCAGAAGATGAGACCACAGTTGCGATGGAATGAACAAATACGTCATCGGCAGCCCTCGAATCGATGTCTGCTGTAAGCTGCAGCACTTCAGACTGTTGACATTGAATCATCATTAAAAAACACACATGCACACAGCCAGAAAGAGTGACAGAGAGACACGATGTTTCTCTTGCTTGCCTTCGTCGATCTCATCGCAGAAAAAGCCATCGCAGAAAGTGCGGTTACAGCCGCATGCGGGATGAGGCCGTTTACAGAAGGTGCCAAGACGTCCAAAGAGTGCAGCCGCATTCCAGATGGCGCTGCTGTCTGCGGACACATTCACACTGATCTGCGACTCAGACCTGAGTGTAGCCGCATACCAACGATACATACGCATACAGACAAACGAACAGAAGCTTCCAAGTGTGTTGGACCTGAGTCCAAGCTCATCGTCGTTCAACAGTGGACCGCGAAAGGGATGTGATCGATATTTCTGTGCAGGCAGATCCGAGATAATACAGACGAACATGCAGACTTCTGTGTACCTGGTCGTAGTGGCTGTTAGAAAGGAAGACTTCAAACCGAGAGCCGAGCGTAGACCAGAAGGGACCATGGACGAGATCCTTACTTGTGACCCTTGTTCGGGACTCTGCATTGAAGCATGTCTCGACAGTGGCCGCCTCACCTTCAGCGAGACTTAGCAGGGTATACTCAGCCTTGAGCAATGTCATACTCGAAGTAAGCAGCACTTCAGGAAGGCTGAGCTGAAGACCTTCTGCCGCGAGAAGATCAAAAAGCTGCGTGTTGATTTTATCTCCAAAGGCCGGCCCGCCCTCTGATAGTGATAGAAAGTCACCCTGAAAGCCAACTCCGACAAGGAGGCTTCCTGCAATGATTCGAGAAGTACACATTTATCAAAAGCATCCTCCTGCAGCCGCTTGTCATACCTTCAATGAAGACAACGCTGCCTGTACGCAAGAAGTCACAGAAAATACTATCCACACAACTGCTCCTACTATCCACACTGTCATACAAGTACCTTCGCATTCAACAGGTTCCACTTGCTCGACGGCTCCTTTAAGGATGACATTCGCGAAGGTTGAGGGCTCGCGCAAGGCATTTGTAAAAGTGCCCTTTAGTGCTGCTGGATCATACTCAATCTTCACTTCCACGCCGCCCCATTCGCCCTGACAGCTGTAGATCCTCTCATTGACGGTAGCCGTGCAGGTGGAATCATTATAGCCTTTTTCCCTGCATCCCTCACTTTCATGATAATCGAAAATAGAGAGACATCCAGAAGAGTTACGAGGTGGCGCCGAATAGCCGGATATCGTCTCATATGACGATCTGATGGTTTGGAATGGTGCATCGAGAAGCTCATAAGTCCCAGACTGCACTGCTGCTGGGCTGGATACCGGCAACCTTGCCCCGGAACACGCTTCGAAGCACTCAAAGCCAATCTTGCACTCCGTGTGAAAGATGACATCCTCGCTGCTCCGGCTGCCCTCCTCTAGCCTCTCGTACACCAACACCGTCGCGTTGATTTCTCTCTGCCCAGTCTGATTTGCTCCAAAGCAGTTGTGCTGCGAGAGATTAGCAACGACCCCCTCGTCTCTCAGTGAGGTAGTAGACCCGTCTGTCTCATTGATCAGCACATCGACGAAGACGGTGTCACCGAGCGTCCCTACCTCAGGATCAAGTCCAACAGCAGCGATCGATCCAGTCTTGAGGCCGCCAGGAATCAGGTAGGGCTCGCTGAAGCCAGCTGGAAGAGTCTGCAGTACAAGGCCTCGGCATTCAACATACACTGACCATGAACACATACATCATGCGATCACAAATGGAAGGGTTCAGAAGGCTGCTTTCTCTCTCCTACCTCCTGCCTCTTGGTCAAGCAAGTCGCCCAATTGTGCCTTAAGGATAAGATCGAGAGAGCTGCCGGTCTCCAAGTTATCCAACTTGAAAGTCAGCGGCAAGACCGTCACGTTTTCGACACATAGGATTTGGACGGAACTAAGAGCGGAACAGACGGACGGGCCGTTCGCCTCAAGCCAGGAATTCCACAAAAAGACCTTCGACTGTGCACACTAATGCCGAACTCGTCAGCAATCTTGTTGGGGTGAAATGCGCTGGTCACTGAATAGCGTGCCACCGTGCGGGCGTTGAAGAGCGGGAAGGCAGGGCTTTGGCCTGTCTTGAACAGTGGAAACCATGGCGAAGGCGTCTTAATGCCGGCCAATTCATGTGGGGGTCTGCGATTCATCGGAGGCGCCTCACGACACCATTTGTTGAAATCATTGGCAAACCGGCCAGAGCCTTCCTCGACCTCAAACAACCTCTGCATGCGGAGACCAAAGGCGGAAAGGGAGACTAGGGTCATGCGCACTTTCTGTCTGCCTGCTTATTCGTGACACTTCAATATCGTTGGGGTCATAGCCAAACCCGGATGCAGTGGTCACGAGCACCGAGCCTGTCCCCACGTCGCCTGATGTGATTGTGAAGATCCGCTCGTTGAGCAAGGAAGGGCAGCTGGGGGGCACCGTCGTAGGAAATGTGAGCAGTCCTAACGGAAAGTTGAAACCTGGACTTATCAAAGCGATGCCCCTTGTGGTGATGAATCCCGTCTCTTCTCCTTCGGCAACTAGAGTAAGGCGCTGCTCTGCTGTGTAGTTGGCGAAGCGGGCACGAGTAGAATTCGCTTCGTCAACCAACCCAGCTCTGACACGGAAGAGAGACACAAGTAGAAGACATACGTTGAGTACTGCGACCACCTCTAGACTTCAGACGTCTCTCACTCACCCTGTCAGCTCGATTTGTGCCTCGATGCCGATGCACTCGGCTTCGCTGGCATTGACCACTTTCAGCACACCATGAATAACAAGCTGATGGACATGCATATATTGGATGAACGAAAGTGTGATGGCTCGAGCCATTCTCTCTCCGTGTCTTCCTTGCGAGCGCCGGTAAGAATTCATTGCCATTACGCACTGAGCAGAGGCCCACTTCAGGGCAATCGAATGACACGATAGCAGACACACCTTCAGTGGTGTTGCACGAGAGGTCAACAAAGAAGTCCTCATGAGAGCCCTCCATCCTTCCCCGGATGCGCATACAGCTGTCGGTGTCGCCCAGGTTTTCAATGGAATCCGCCCAGGCCTCCAACGCGACGTCTTTCACCAGATAAGTCCCAGGTACAAGCTGTGAGAAGTTCTTTGGGTTGTTGTTGTGGTCGCCAATGGCGAGAAATGCAGGGTCGACGCCGCTCGTCTCAGCGATCTCCGCGGCATCCAGTACATCGTAACAGTCGCGGTTCGGCGCGAACGGATTGACCGTGTTGATGCACTTGTCAAAGGAAGCTGGCCAGCATAGCTTTTCAAATCCAGGCCAATCCCTAAGAATAGAAGTGTCCTCACTCTTGGGAGGCAACAATGGACCGAACATCTCTGAAAACAATGAGACGCACACATTCAAAGTCCAACATTTGGCGTACTTATATACCGATTTCTCTGGACAGAGCTGGTTGGTTTTCTATGCAGTAGCAAAAGCGTCGGTCGCCAGAGCGTGCGCATATAGGCTTGTCAGCCGGGCACAGTGAAAGCGCAGATGTACCGCCGTTTTCGTCCACAGCTCCACAGAGAATGCTCTGCCCTTTCCCAGAAGGGGTGACGGGAGTGCCCCCGCGGCCGAGGGACGGATTGAGGGCCAGTTCCTGCTGAATTTTAAACCATTCCTGGGCGAATTTCTCTTCAAGACACGGACTTTCAAGAGACAGCTCAAGAGCATGAGTCACCGGAGAGCTCACCATTAATACACACTCCGAAGGCCATCTGTTCGCCTTTGTCACTGTTGAAGAAGAGAAGTGGGTCCGGAACGCAAGTTGCATACGGTGGGAGACCAGGTGGCGGGACATCTGCAACGACTCAAAGGCAACGACTCAAAGCCATGCCGTGATTCCGTTTAGCTTTTCGGGTTTCCCTAGCTCACCTGGTTGGCAGTCAGCGTTCGCTGTGACGCCATCCCGTATCCGATTGTTACCAAATATACACGAAGGTGTATATCTGAACTGCGCGACGACAGCACGGGCGTCCGCGAGCAGAAACACGAAGAGGCATCTGCGCACCAAAGTCGATTGTTGCAACAATGGACTACTAATCGGCATTAGAGAGCGGGTGGATGCTGGTGTAACGTCACAGGGGACAGGGGGGGGGGGGGGGGGGGG